ACTTTGCTACTAGCTTCATCCGACCACACTACACTTGTTACTGTAGAACACAAGTATGAACAGTATCAGCAGTTATGATTAGTACCTCGTGTATAAATACATTGACTAAATTACCTGTGTGTGGCGCAAAGTTCGCTGACAAACAGATGTGTCTATTTTTTTTTATATTGACCGATCGATAGTTAGGTAAAGTCTGTACAGTTACAAATGAAACATATGTCTTATGAGTACAAACAAATAGACTGTAATCCTGATGAAAGTATGAGAATATAGACTTGAATAAATGACATTCAAGCAGATCCAAATACATGAATTTGAAATCCCGCAACATCATAAAGATATGAAAATACAGGTAAGTATGATCGTAATCTTAACAATACCTAGATTATATTGTCGGATATTGAAATAAATAGAAACTAATTTTACTAGTTCGCAGGTATTTCAAGATTACTGTTACGAAGCGTCCGTTCCACCGGTCGGTCAGACAAACAATGACCACAACTTACAAATACCGCTAAATAAATAAATAAAAAATCAATAATATATGACTTAAGACTGTGACGTAAGACAAAATTAAGCTGACCAATGACCAAACGACACTATATAAAGCGGCAACAACGAGACTAACCACTGAAGTATACACGTGACTAATGAACAAGATACAGTATAGACGTAAACTAATAAACAAGATTTAACAATTACGGAGACAATACAATTCACATTATATTAAAAGTCGATCCTGCCATATTATTACGATCATTATTTCAAACAATCTTAAGCAAGCGAATTTTGTCAGGAAAATATTAGTGTGGCCATGTCACGCAAACAATGTGTAGATATATGTACATTCGAACGCTTGTAAAAAAAACTGCATGAATCGATTTTTTTTACACATGTGTCATTGTAATGGGACATGTGTTTATTTGTATATAATGTACATATATATATATATATTGATTAGCCTAAGTATGGCGATTTGTAGGGTCGGCTAAGTGATAGTTTAAATACCTGTGTTAGCACTGACGGGACTACGTGCGTATGTCAATGCTAAATTTGTTATCCATTTTCATACAAAAAAAGTACCAATACGCAAAAAGATCATTTTTCGGACAAATGTTGAGCTTGATTAAATCCTTGATTAAACTGACTCCGCCATTAAAACGGATTTAAATTTCACTTCACTTGGTGTTGATTTCCTAAAAAGTTCCCACGGAGATATACGTTCTCGTTTGTGACTCATTGAGTTTTTCTATTCAGTGATTTGTGCCATGTTAAAACTACACGTGTCAAGGTTAATCTCTCAGTTCTAACTGTATGTAAAATCGAAGTCCTCAAATGACGTTACCAGGAGCAACCAGTAAACAATCACAACCCGTACATGTACGATCACCTGTCCGAAGTTAGGTGACCCGTGACCACGGCAAGCTTGGACATATTGACCATGGTCAGTTAAGGTGAAAGTCTTCTACACACGTCTCCGCACACGTTCTACACGAACAGGTATGTAACTAATTTTTGGATACATGAGTGTCCTTTAATGTTATCAGTATGGAAATAACGGAGTATTTATTTGTTTATTATATAATTCATAACGTTTAACTGGTAATCTCGATCCGACTCCCTGGTGTAATTCGTTCTCGGTGTCATGACAGTCAGTGACCCGGTGGGTAATCTCGATCCGACTCCCTGGTGTAATGCGTTCTCGGCGACATGCCAGTCAGTGACCCTGTGGGTAACCTTGATCTGAGTTCCTGATGTAATGCGTTCTCTGTGTCATGTCGGTCAGTGACCGTGTATTATATAACTACGTGCAGATCCGGGTCGTCGATTTATTACTTTGTGGAATGTGTATTGTAGACTTATGTCACTGATTGCAGCGATCTAAGAAAATTTACTGTGACAGATACCAGTGTCCACTTAACGTTAGCTGCACCTGTATAATACTAACTCTATATTTATTAAGATGAAATCGAAATCAGAACAGCATACCATTATAATAAATACTCTTCTGATACACAAATGACCCACTGAAACACAGGTAGCTTCTGGTACACAAATTAACCCCGGCTACACAAATAACACGACGTAGACTCGTCACAGGTTCGACGTACTTCCTGGATTTTCAGAGTTGATGGTTATGTATTGAACACATGAACATTGCATTTACAGTGTCGCCAACCTCTCGTCACATCTTGTAATATTCCTTCAAAATCAAGGATGACATGGTATTTTAAACGTTCATCAAGGAAAAATACCTTTTAATTAAAACTTTTGTACATACCTTAAATTTATTTGTGTTGAGGTAAGGTTCTTGATTGTGTTTTAGCATAAATTTGACCACGTTAGACCCAAAACTGGATTTAGATTTTTTTCAAATACTGAAAAAAACTCAAGAAGTATTAGGTGGTTCTAGTAGTTTCCTGGATTTGAGCAGGTTGATCCTGTGGTCAGTAGCAGGTAGACCTGACGAAATCAGGTGAGTTGACGACACTTCAACTATAATAGGTAGTAATGACAAATAGCCATGTCTCCATCGGGGTTCGAACTAGCGACCCTTCGGTCTATAGCGGACACTCTACCACTCGACTGAAGGGAAATTCCCGCTACTTGGGTCTAGTAAGGTGACATCATACTCTAATACACGTATTCCCTTACGTGTCTGGGTTCGTTACGTTTATAACAGGTTTTATTTTTTATTCTTCTGATTTAGATCCGGGATATCGATTTAACTTTTGGTTGGTGAAGAAATAATCATTGAGTTCACATTGTAATATGAATCGCCGTTATCAAGGAAAGCATAACGACATTAACACTGTATTGTTATTTTTACGACCAATTAAAATAGGATTTTATATCTTTACAATATCACAATACACGTAATTATAACAACAATTTGCATGAATATGTTTATATTCGAAAAATCTCAGTTCTCTTCCGATATGTTAAAATGTTCCCCATTTCAATCTTCACCTGAATCAATCTGTGACAAGACGATGATTATATAAACATTTTTCTTTTTCTGATAAAAAAATGTAAAATTGATGGCCAAATATAATTTAAAATCTTAAAACAATCGGATACCATATATTTAATGCGTTATGCATATACCATATCAAGTTTTTACCTTAATTAGAATGGGGGAGCATATCAGTTTTCTTGAAACGAAACGCTCTTGAAACTGTACAAAAATACGAGGACAATTAGACAATATTTAGAATTAGACGGATCAAAATCCTTTTAACATCATTAAGACTCCTGTCTTAGTAAGACTGCCCCGGTCTCTTTTAGAGAGTAAGTTGCCTAGAAGCATATCTGCAAAGGTGTGTTATATGTTTTTCAAATTCGATTATAGAAGAAAACGCATGCGCAGCTACACTTAAAACAAGCGACCATCATATCGCACTGATCATATATTGTGTACAGTTAAACAGTCTTATCCAAAACTCTCGCTTAACTGGAGAACACCACATATTGGTCAGCTTGGGGAGTGTGTCGTGGTCAAGCGAATTCTGTTAATATTGCTTCACGTGCTGCATTAGTGACGTAATACTGAAATGTCATATATCATAGGATATCGGGTAGTTAAAGAGTCTGGTTAAACAGTGTACATTACGTCGCAAATATTCATTTATCTATTGAATATTCGTTTACAAAATATCTGGATAGATGCTTGTCAGCGGTTCTCTCTATCCACACTTCCGACCTCGATATTTCTCTTTTTCACATCCGTGTCATTTCAATGTTATGCGCTTTGCCCGATCAGTAAGTCTGTTATCAGATTCACTTTACCGTGTAGGATACTCCTACAGAGACCAGTGTGTAGATATTTGTTTCCACGTTTTGTCTCAATCCCCCCACCCCCCACCCCCCACCCCCATTTGTTTGGTTTTGAGTCTGAAATAAGATTTGGATGGTATGTCGGTATTATATGTGTTATTTATACCACAATGTACGAGTTATAAGATATCAGCGTCAGTGAAAATTATCGTAGATAGTACGGCCTCTGTCGACACTTGCATTGTGGCAGAATTCCTTTCGTCAAAAAGAATGGAATTTGTCTTTAGACCTCAAAGGAAAATTGGAATAGATACTGATATTCTGTATCAGTGTTCATTACAAACGATAACATTTGATGAAAACATGATAAAAGTCAGAGAAAGTCATCGGATATTTTATCAATTGGACCTTCAAATCATTATGTTAAGAAAAGACTAAAACCGATTTCGATACCATTCTCCTCAAATATCACTGTTAGTTAAAAACCTCCCCTGCATCAGGCTCTGCCTTTCCCTTTATTACATATACGGTCCTATGCCTGTTCGGCTAAATTCACATATGGCATTAACAGTGAACTTACAATGTATGGCTGCACAATCTATCAAAGACATAATGATGCTGTCACAAAGTAAAATCACTGCCAAATCCTGAAAACCATTTCCTGAATAGGAATTATCTCCCTTGGACCGAGAAACATCGCGTACTACCTAATAGGATGCAATCATTTTATATATTGCCAATAGAAAATAAACAAGTGAATATTGTTGAGAACAACCTTAGCAACATCTTTTACAGTGACTGATACAAAACGAGGGCGGAAATGTGTCAAAGATAAGACGATGTAATTAGAATTAATCAGAAAGTTTGCGAGTTTGATATGTGTTTGCTAAAATCCGTAAGTATGTAGGTCTAACAACAACCAAAGTCTAAAAACTAATCACGTAAACGTTTCCGGACCTGATTGACTTGAAAGACAGGAAAAGATTTTACCACTTACTAATTCGAAAACGGATTTTCAACTTTGGGAACAAATGACACCAATTAAACAGTGGGTGACGATTTGTTCAGTTCACATTTTGTGTGTTTTAAAGCTGCAGATAGCATATAGGTTTGGAAAAGTAGTAAACCTTTCTTAAATTGTGGGCGAATGAGTCCGATATATAGTGTTTTAACGTTATCGAAACAAACTAATATATCTTGTTCTTGTCGTTTTTAGATTCAAAATGGAGAACGACGTGGTTTTGGATATCAGCGACCAACAGAAACCTCAGACATTGATGGACAAATTTCGAGATCATTACAACGATCAAGCAGTTGACAATCGAGTCAAATTGTCTGCTCCAAGGTGGGTGAGGGGTTTGTTGATATTTCAGACCCCTACACAGCTGTTTATGTTTCATTATTACATAATTCCCTATCTGTTTGAAGACTACGACGACTGGACACAGTATTACCTCAAAGTTCTCGTCACGTTTACCGCGATACAGTGTGTAGTCAACTACATATGTACAATTCTTTATGATACAAGCATGTCTAACACTAAAGATCGACCCGATATACAAGGACTGAGCGACCGATGGGAGAACCCGCCCGACCATTTTGTGTCGCTTCTCAATCATAACGGATGTGCTATTCCAATACCTGAATCGGAGGAGGTGGACGATTCCGGATTTTTATGGAAATATTGTGAAATCTGTAAAATCTACCAGCCGCCTCGTACTCATCACTGCAATTTGTGCAAAGTGTGTATTCTTAAGCGTGATCACCATTGCTACATGGTTGGGAAATGTATCGGATTTAAAAACCAGAGATATTTTGTTGTGTTAACATTTTATGTTGCAGCCGTTGGCTTAGTAAGTGGTTGTTTTCAATTTAAATACCTACAAGTGTTTTATTATCCGTACAGCTACGCCTGGACAGATTTCATTCCTCCGATTGCGTTGTACCGCTGGCTGTTCGGAACGGTTGACGCCATGTCCTTACACGTGTGTGTTATGATTCTACACGTGTATCTGGAGTTCATGTTTGGTGTGATAGGATTCTTTTATTTCAATTCACAAATCGCCATAATTGCGAAAGGAAAAACGCTATATGAATTGACGAAATCTGTACCTGTCCGGAACTTCAATAGTATTAATCGTAATTTCCGTTCTGTTTTTGGCGATTTCTGGGTTTTAAACTTCCTTTTTCCAATGCAGGTAATATTTCGACAGAGAGACGACGGTAAGACTTGGGAAGGAATCAAAGTTGATCATAATGCTAATCTGCAAGGAAAAACCAACTGACTTAATAACAAACTTAAGATCAGTAATTCTTATATAGTTCTGTTGCTAAATTGAAATTCTTAAGCATGATGTCGCCATTTCTATACATACTTGTACAAATATTGAACGCTATGTTTAAGATAATCCAATAAGTTTTAAATTTCGAAGTTGTAACTTTGGAATGTGATAGTTTCTGTGATGTTGACATACAACTATATGAATGAACATTAAAGTTAAAACATATTTAGCTCATGACTTTATTGTTGATATTTTTTCGATGTTGATTTTTCATGGGAGGTAACTCTTCATCTTCTCATTCCTTTAATTACTTCACAAAATTATCATTATTATTATTATTGTGACAATCGTACTGGCCCGTCAACACATAAAAAGGTCATCAGGGTCATCAACCGGTGGAAGACACAGCGACCCGAAAGGAAATAACATCAAACGAACTAAAAGCTAAAAGTAAAAATCTTAGATGATTAAACTATCACAAAAGATCAAAATAACATTTCATGTCCTATAATACAGACCAACATCTTTCATATAACCTAGAATTTTATAAATCTCGACAGTTTCAAAAAGTTTTTAAACTCGTAACGTTGCGATAAAAAAAACACTTTTCGAGTAGAAAGAAAGGTCAAAATGTGTAACGGTGAATGGGTCATCACATCCTATGCAGCAGCCTTTCAACATATATGAACGCGTAAGGTATGTATGGCCGAAGACGGGCAAGGGCAACTTTGTCTCGGTGGTTGTCTCTATAGCATGGAGACCATTCACCGATTATAGGTTTTAAGGAATGTAATTTGTTGTTTTTGTATTGATTCCATTCCTCCTGCCAGCTGTTAAAATTGTTTGATAGATAGTTTAAAATCAGTAAAATGAAGTTTAAAAACCAACAGGTGGCAGCGATAAATCTGCCTTTGCGGCATGATCTGCTTTTTCATTGCCTGGTATTCCCATGTGCCTAGGAAGCAAGCAAAAACAAGACGAAAGTTTAAGGCAAGCTCGAGATATAGTATTAATGTATAACGAAGGAAAATATTGGTGATATTTCTATTGCTATAACTTTGTAAAAGTGAGTCTGAACAACTCTCTTTACTTTCTTTGTTTGAATATATTCAAAGGCGAGGTAGCCAACATCCATAGGTTTCATTTTGTGTAACCGTGGCCGTAACAACCTTATCATTATCATTTGAACCGTCAGTAGATAAATGTTGATATTTTGCAACTTATTGCAATTTCGATAAGGTTGAACGGAAGGTGTAACTGTCTGTGTCTGATTTAACCCTTTCATGAAGTGAAAAGTCAACTTTAGGTGAATACAAGAGCCAGAGTGAAATTTCCATCGTTCCAAGTGACTGAATTTGGTCTATTTCAATATTTATGTTTTGTAAAAGAGCGGAAATTCGATTACCGAATGGTGCAATGGCCTTTGTTTTTTTTAAACAAAGTTTTATATTTTTGATCAAATACAAGTGAACAGGCAGGATTTGACTTTAACTGAATTGTGTATTACAAAGCCAATTTATTTCGCGGCGGCTATACAGTAATGATTTGTTAGCCTCTACATAGAGGCTTGCTATATGTGTGGTCTTAAAAGCTCCGAGAGCGAGCTTCAGACCCTGATGATGAATAATAATTTCAGATATGAAGGTCTAGCAGATCCATACGCAATGGAACCGTGGTCTAATTTTGATCAAATAAAATCTCTATAAAGTCTTAACAGAACTTTACTTTCAACTCTCCTTGCTCAACAACCGAATGGGTACACCACAATGAGAGAGATTTGAATCGTCGTGTTTCCGCACTTGACAAACATGCTTACAAATAGTTTTTGATTGTGAAAATTTAAATCCATTTTCATCTGCCCAAATATGAAATCTATTTAAACATGTTTGAACTTGTCTTTCAATGGTATACATATGCTTAGATCGATAGCATATAATGAAGTCATTGACATAGAGAGCGCCCTCCACTGGAGGGGATAATGTTTTGACAATATTGTTAATTTTAAGTCCAAAAAGTTTTACAGAGAGCATGCTGCTTATGGTACACCCATTTTCTGTTGATGAACATCGAAAAGGGTCGTTCCATTCTGAACTTGAAATACTCTATCTGATAGAAAATTTGAAATAGAATTTGGTAGACAACCTCTGATACCTATATCAAGCATATCTTTCATTATGCCGTATTTCCACGTTGTGTCGTAAGTGTTTGACATGGATGACGGATAAATATAGCTGGTCTGTCATTCCCGAGGTCTCGCTGTGAGTGGTGGATGTTCTAGGACCCTGTAACACTTGTATATATATTAGTGGGCTTACATTCGGTGGCAGCGGCGGGCTTTAGGCTTTACTGATCATAGTGTAAGTAATTTTGTCCGAGAATTGCTCGACTCCACTCAGAATATTTTATATATATTTCCAAAGACTCTAGGTATCAAAAGATGGTGTTCATCCAAACGCACCACCATCGATGTTGATTTTCAATAGTTTTGAAGATACCCAGTTTTTATTCCGTGCCATAATTTCATCAAGTCCTACCCGGTGCAGGACTCATAGACACTGACATAATTGATACGTGTCGCAACCGACATCATAGTGCCGTTTTGGGTTCATATGCATTTCATAAGTCACGGGACATGATTTAGGAACAACATTTAAACATCGTCATCGAATTTCGAAACGTGCATTCTCTAAATGACATTTATGTTATACCAAATTTACATAGAGAGAAAGAGCATAGCCTAAACCATTCAAAATGCGTTGTACATCTGATAAGTTTTCGTTATTTTATTTTTAAAGGACGATTAAACCAAGAGATGAGACGGGTAAAGGGAATATTTGCATGAAAATGCGATATTTTTTTAATAAGATATTGTTGAAATTATTCAAATGAACACCAGAATTCAGATTGTTGGATGTATTCTACTAATGACAAAAAGTTTCATATCAATATAGGCTTCAAAGTCGCACTTTTGAAAAATCGGCATCGGTGGTAAAGTCAATCAATATAAATGGAACTTTTTATCTTCGTCTAAAAAACAGCCATAATCACAGCTCAGATGTCGTCAATCATAGAAATCTTCCGAAATTCGTTTTAAAAAGACACGGAATGCTATATTTGATACTAAAGATATGTTATGCATTAAAAGTGTACAACAAAACTGCTGTAAATTACTCTCGGAATTCCCACTACCATCAATTGAACTGCATCAACAGAGGGGACTTGCTGGGCTCTCGGATAGAAAATGACAACAGTTAACGTGTTGGTAATGATAGAAATCACACACCACATACCGCACACACTTATTTATGCGAAAGCAATTTTCAATGTTAACTGTGCATTTTATACCATCATAACGAAAATAACTTTTCAGATATAATCATACGACTATCGGCAACTCATTCAACATTACCGCTTCGTCAAATATCGTCACCGTTTACGAGTATGTAAAAATGTATATTTTGCATGAATATGTTAATGAGTAACTTTTCAGGGAGCAACATTGCCCCTTACGGACCTTTGAAATAAAAGGAAGGTACTTAACTATCCATTTCTATTCAATGCTGTGGGAGTATGGCCCTTTTTGTTTTATTAAGGGAAACACCTCTGAGGTAAAACTCTCAAGGATGCAAATTTTCATTGGATTAAAGAATATCTTTAATTCTTCAGGCAAGCATTGTCATCATCACCAGTTTTATCTGATCAATTCTAACAATTTGTCATGTACACAGATGCATTGGGATGGGGTGTTGGTGCAATTTTAACTCGACATGGTAGAAAACGCTTAGAGCAGGTGATCAGGAAAAAAAAGGAATGGGGGAACAAACGATAGGTCATAGCCCTTGGTTGCTATGACCCTACTGGTCGACAAGACATATGGTGTACTGAGCTGAGTGTGTATGACTTCAAAATAAAACACAGAGACGGGGCATCACTATTGTAATGCTGGTACGTTATCACGTATCCTGAAGTTTATATAGTGTGAAGGGGTCGATTATAATTAACAATTATACAACAGATGGAGAGTTCAATGACTCTGCCAGGTTCATGCTTGGTACTAATGCCTATCTTAACAAGAGGCCCAGAGGGCCTGTATCGCTCACCTGGATCTTTATGACCAACAGTACTATATCTGTGCATATTTTCCACGTTTAACATATTTGACGCCTGTGACCTTGACTATGGGTCAAGGTCATTTCTTTTTGCAAACGTTCTTGGTCTTTATTAAAGGAACATACTGGCAAATTATAATGATTCTAGGCTTTTCGATATTTCAGAAGAAATTGTTTAAACGTTTTAACACTTTTGACTCCTGTAACCTTGAAGATTGGTTAAGGCTATTTCTTTTAGCAAACTTTGTAGGGCACCATAAGAGGAACAGAGTAGCCTAATATAATGATTCTAGGCCTTCCGGTATTTGTTGAGAAATCGTTTAGAGGTTTTAACACATTTTAGTTCTGCGATCTTGAATATGGGTCAAGGTCATTTCCTTTTGCAAACTGTGTTGGGCTTCATCAAAGGAACCTTCTATCCATATATAATGATTCTAGGCCTCCCCGATTTTGGCAGAAATCGCTTAAAGGTTTTCACACATTTGACCTCTGTGACCTTGAATATGGGACAAAGTAATTTCTATTCGCAACCTTTGATGGACTTCATCAAAGGAACCTTCCAGCCAAATATAATGATTTTAGGCCTTCCGGTATTTTGGCAGAAGTCGTTTAAAGGTTTTAACACATTTGACATCTGTGACCTTCAATATGAGTCAAAGTCATTTATTTTTGCAAACTTTGTTGGGCTTCATCAAAGGTAACTTCCAGTCATATATAATGATTCTAGGCCTTCCGGTATTTTGGAAGAAGTCATTTAAATGTTTTAACACATTTGACCTTTGTGACCTTATATATGAGTCAAGGTTATTTTTTTTCGTAAACTTTGTCAGGCTTCATCAAAGGAACCTTCCAGCCATATATAATGATTCTAGGCCTTCCGGTATTTTGGAAGAAGTCGTTTACAGGTTTTAACACATGTGACCTCTGTGACCTTGAATACGGGTCAAGGTATTATTATTTTTGTATACTTTGTTGGGCTTCATCAAAGGAACCTTCCAGGCAAATATGATAACTCTAGACCTTTCGGTATTTCAGAAGAAGTTGTTTAAATGAAAAGTTGACGGACGCAGGACGGACGGACAACGGACGCCGCGGTATGGCATATAGGTGTGTTCTGATGATCAAACCACCGTCGATGACTGTCGCTGAGAAACTAGAAGTGCACTAAGGTATTGTGAAAAAATCTTATATATGACGGGTATAGCCCATGGCCTCCTGGTATTTCAGCCTAAAGACCATACAACCCAAGGCCCAAGTGGTTTGACCTTTACGTCTATGCGAGATCTTATATTATATTATTTGGTACTATATCATTAAACATATTTAATAAATAAAACAAAATGTGTAACTAGAAATTGTCATAGACAATTTTGACGGGCTTTCCACCTTTTTTGGCCTGTAATTAAAGACAATGCCTGCAATATATTGGCACTCTGTATGAAATCAAAGTACAAAAGGAGTCATCGATAGTAAGAGATCAAAGTACTGAGCGTACTGTATTTGAAAGTGGGTCAAGGTAATCCATATCAATAACATTTATGGATAATTATATTAACTTAATATGTATTAGATATCAAGTATATAGGTCTTCCCAAACTTGAGAAGAAGTTTCGTATACATTTAACCCCTAAGGAAAACCGGAAGTCTATTATGAAAGTTTGGCTTATTCCAATCAAAAGCGAGTCTCCGCAGAAGGCTATTGACCAAATCAAGTAATCGTTTTCCTCTTAAAAACTAAGAAAACGTCATTTAATGATATTAATATAATTGACCCCAGTGATCTAGAAAGTGGATCAAGGTCTTCCATATTAACAAACTTAATAGACAAGTACCTTAGCAATGTATGTGTGAACTATCGAACCTCTAGGCCTTTCCAAACTTGAGAAGTTTCTGGTAGTTTAGTACCATAAATTGCACTTTTTAACTTTGACCCCTACTGAAAACCGGATATTGACGTTTAACACAAAATGTCCTATAAGAAGTGCCATTTATTTTCAATTCTACATACCATATCCAAAGATGATTTCAGAATGTCACGTTATTATTGAGATATTGACGTTAGGGCAAAAATCAAATGTGGCGTCATGGCGGCCACTTTGTTTGAACATCACGTCAGAATTTACAGGGCACGTAACCAAATCTATTCCATAACAATTATACAAAATTTCATTGTAGGATCTTGGAGTAATTCTAGTTCAAACGTTTTGTCTGCACTTTAAATTCTGCATTGAACTGTAGGGGAAAAAAAATCGAAGTTTTTTTTTTTCTATTATAAGGTGACCTTGAACCCTTGGCGAGCTTTTTTGTATGAAAGAATTTCTATTAACACGTAGAAAAAAAAATAGATATGAAACTCCTCTACATAGATTATATTGTAGCAAATTTGTAGGACAAATATTTTTCGAGTAATTGCTGGTTTTAGAAATTTCTGGTAATTGGGTCATGGCGGCGATATTAGATTTTTGACCTACTTAAAAATGCGACATTAACAATTTCAGATGACTTCCATAACATACTATATAGGTTGCGTGCCTATCCCTTACCGTTTAAAAGATCATAAACCCACAAACTCGGAAGAAGAATAATGATAAGAAACATAACTAAAGCAATGTCATTTCATCTTTTGATGAGAAGTCCTAATTAGTAAAATGGAATTTAAAAAAAAGTTTTTCTACAATTATTACCAAATAACTTCTTCACACTCTCGCCACACTAATCAACGTTCAAATATTAAATATGTTTACTCTATTTCGTCCGGGAATCCAGAGTCAGGGGTTGCCAACAACCCTCCTTACCCCCGTCCCTTCCCTCCTCAATACGAGAACACTGTACAAGGCTTACTTGCCGAAGTATTTACTTATGAATTGCAACGTCTCCTCCTGCAAAGGTCGCATTTTGTTTAAAATACTACATCATGCACTAGATCATTTGTGCGTTTGAAAGAGTCAGTTTTGCAGAGCTTCCAAACGACTCGGAAGTTACTACAGAAATTTATGAGCTACTTATTCTGTAAGAAGCAAGCTATTGCAGGTATATCATAGGTAAGTTGCTGATGCGTGGCCCAAAACAATCAATAATTTATGATACAGTATAAATTTAAAGAAGGACTCGGTTACAGCATTTTAGATGCGCTTATATGTTAATAGTTATTAATGGTTAACTTGTAATAACAATGATAATATTTATTTTATGTAAGGTTTACACTTTGATCAACATACATTCAAATTTGATACTTTTTCAATAAAACATTACTAACCAGACTATTAAAAGTTATTTTCTCAATCACAATAGTTTCATACTCCTGTTTTACTAATAGCTTCAAACTTAGTGGTGAAGCGGGGACCGCTATCATAATGTACAGACGGTATAGAATTGTATATGTCAACATATAAGGGCAGTCATTATATCTTAAAATAGAATGTTACCCTACACTGACGGCCAATTAAACATTTACAGCACATCGTAATAATAGACTTCAGATGTACTAGTATCTTCAAATAATTGAACGTTGTCAAATATGCATGTCTATAGGTATGACACGACAATATTATACAATAAAAATTACCATACGATGACAGTCAATAAGTAACAGCTTTATCAGTAATATTGGACTTCAGGAAAACCGGTATCATCTGATTTTAGAACGTTACTGAATATATGCTGAAGTTACATCCAAAGCACTCTAACAGGACAACCCTCATCTCACTACCACACTAAAGCATACTTCCAAAACAGGACAACCCTCGCGGTCACATTGTACTGGCAACGGGTAAACCAATCATTACACAACCATAATGAACGTTAAGCAGGAAGTAATAACTACAAATATAGAAGACTGGTGTGTTTCGGCAACGGTACAGAATCCATAACTACCTCATAGGGCGGACGCTCAACTAATGGCACAAGTAAGACAGTGTCAGGGAAAATATTTGGAAAACAAATACGAAGGGGGCGGGGATGTAATGTAAAACCCAGCGTTTAGTTGCCTCTTGCAACGAGACGAAGGGGACAGGAGGTACAAAGCTTTCGCCCTTCGTGCAGAGAAGTGTGCTAACTATGTATAGTTTGATTGTGATTGATGGTTATAAACTTTTCAAAAGTTACACAAAACACGACCTTTACCAGACACCACAATGAAAAAAGCTATTACGCATTGTATCGACCTCGTATGTACCCACGTATCCTATCAGGCGTAAGGATATGAAATGTAGTGAGAAGGCGCTGCTAAATATGGATATCCAAATCTCCAAGTAATTTTTGTGCGACCTACCCGCCATATTGTCCGTTACCTCACAGTTCATACGTCACTAATTCAAAGTAACTGTCGCTGGAAACGACGACGGCAGGGTTGATGTTTGTGGTAAATTTGCCAACATTAATCGGTCCTCGAAACAGAAACAGCAATGAATTCAAACGTGGATTAACCCCCGCTTTCAGCATGACATCGACGAATGCGAAGTATTATGGTTTATATTTTACCGTGTCAGCCAATCAAAATACCGTAAGAGTTTATACCAAGTGGTTAACAATGGTTGTAATGATTTACGGATGCCAAGTATAGTACTTTTAAATCAGGACTACTTTATCGAGGATTGAGCTCCCTCTATCCTTATCACACATCGGTAACTTATCATTATCTCCCGCTTTCACCGAAACGGGGGATATTAATTTGGGTTTGTCCGTCCGTCTGCCTGTCACACTTTCGTTTCCGTGTTCTAACTTCCCCAAATATCCAATTTGGGTGACACTTGGTCAACAGATGCAGCTTGAGGTCATTAAGATTGAGTTTGACTATCAGTGACATCTGTTAATAATTATGCATACTAATGAGGTATCCTTTGATTTCATTGGTCAATATGTTTGGAAAGCGGGAGATATAAATTCCATGAATTTGCTTGTTTTTCACCTAAATTCTGTTAAATATGCATCGCGTCATCATCAAATTAATTATGAAAGCATTGCGCTACTACCGAAAGGATAAGAGGGCATATATTCCAATAAGACTTAATGTTTAGTAGATTACGAAAAGATGTGTCATTTAAGAACCTCATCGTTTACACAAGAAATAATTCACTATGATATTTATTCATTGTTTTTCTTGTTCACTTACTACGTCTAACATTCGTCCATCTCTATGGCCTGTGGTAGGTCGATTAAGCGTTTAAAAGAGTGGTAACCACAAGGAAATGGAGAAGACAAGGTGAACGTATTGATCCATGAAAATATGTAGGGTGCAGTAATAGATGAAAACTGATATTCCGCAGCAGCTATTTCGACCCTTATGAGAATTACATTTAACACACGGACACGGAAAGTATTAGAGCGCATCTTAACTATGTATGGAACACGACGTGCAGCGTTAGTCTGTGTGAGTCTGTTGGAAATATTTCTTTTCGGAGGAATGCAATTTGGATGGCATGCTCTTGTGTTTATCCTAAAACAAGAGGGTTTGTTCAACACTTTCTGTGTTCCGGAATCTGAAGGCAACTCAACTGAATTGACGTCAAAAAGCGAGGACTGCTTCCTTCAGGATGAACAGTTTAATTTAGTTTTCAGTTGCGGAGTTGCTATCTTTACGTTGGGAACGATTGTCAACGGAAAACTCTTCCTGTCATTTGGTATTAAATGGACTCGTTTGCTGTATATGTAAGTATATATACATTTGAAAGCAGAGGTGACCGACTTTTCTCGAATCTATTCTCTGCGAAAATTGAATTGTGTGTTTTGCACATAAATTATACTCAATTTTAACAGACGACATTGCCAATTTCCTATGAGCGATAGGCTTGTCAAACTTTGTAAGACATATTCTACCATTTCTAATTGTTACATGTATTTCTCATCGTATTCAGAACTTTGGCTGTAGCCGGGATTTTATTCCTCGCGTTCTCATCACCAGGTAATTAAAATTTATATTTTTCTCTCGGTTTCGAGGGGTCTGCTGGATTCTTGACTATTTGATTATTCAAGGTGAATTCTACTAAATTTTATCGAAAAGTGCATCCCAGACAGAAAAGAATTGAATGTCATTGAAATATAAACACAGAAATAACAATATATATATACATGACAAGTGGCCAGGGAAACAATTAGCGATGTTAAAAAATATTTCTATGGAAAAGTGATATATTATCACTTTTTCACTTAAATTTCTATCACTGAGTACATTTTCGTTACCATTCCACTCATAAAAACAGATGAGTCAAATTCACATGGCAGTTACACATAATGAATAAACAAATATAATTACACATTTACAGCAAAGAGCGTCATGATTAGTAGGAGCCTTTCAGACTTAATGCACTACTAATTTAATTGTCAGATCCCATGTGGAATGAAACTCTTAGTATATCACGATGAAATCACTATTATTTCGTAATTGCTACACACGACAGAATGCTGTAAATGAGTAAAAACGTTCAATTAACAATTTGGCCTGACAGATCTTCTCGCCGATATTAACTGTATAAGTACCAGCAAGAAAGCGTATACTGGTATCAGATAGAATGTACAGTAATCATACTGTGGCACACGCGCCAAAAAGTAAATCAATAAATTTACCATTAAAAGGGTATGATGAATGTGATGAATTATCTGTATCTTAATGATTGCAAGCTTGCTTTCCTAATCTACGGTGTTCATACAGTTGTGGGATCGCACAACGTCACATGATGTCTAATGTACGCACGATGTACGCAAGATGTCTGCACGATAGGAAAACTTGACCAAATAAGCTATCGCACACTTGTGCGCACGTTGTGTTGTTCTAAAGTACAGATGTGTGATTCTGTCTTGATTTGTATAAGTTAAGAATTGACTTATAACAAAATGTGAGATATACGTGGGACATGCTTCATTTATTTCCTAAATATGTAAGAGTACAACTCAGTATATTTCCAAACTAAGCCACTAGTACATAGGTTGCGTACTTGTAGATGTATCAGACTGAATAGTTACAAACACTTGTAATTTAAAATGCTTTGTTTAGAGATGCCACATGTGACCAGTCTGAGTGTACGGAAACGATCATGATGATATACATATTGTATATTAAATTGAGGTCTCGTTTTGCCTTGGCAATGAATAATTTAGTCTCATACAGTCAGAAACAAAAGTTTGATTTTATTAGTTCTGTTTTCTTTCGTTTTTCTATCATTTTGTAAACAAACAAATTTTTGCCCGCATGTAGATAAATTTTGTTGCCCGAGGCACACCTCTCATCACTCTCCGTGGTTTGAAACTAACGTGACGCTGCCCAAATTGATATCTTTTACCTCAAAAATATCTCTAAAAACTTGGGAATGAAATATGCAGGATTAAAACTGATTATGTAAACTTATCACGTCTAACTGTTTATACAAAACTGGTTTATTGTACAAAGCAAGGCCCTTCCGAAATGGGCAAAAAATACTAAATGTTCCTTTCACAAACCATACGGCCGTGCGACGGGTATTTCTCCAGTGCTTCTGGGCATTTTAAAAAATAACCAAACAATCTGTTATTACGTAATAAACTCAAAATTCCAAAACTATCACTTTCGTGTAGAAATATATCGAAGTAAATTTTCAGTGGTTCGATTTTGTATCGACGAGCCACGACTGTTACCGTCTCCGCCATTTTATTTACACCGCTCTGCGCATGGCACAACTAAAAAACGCGAGGTGCCTGTAAGAAAATCCGGATATGCTCTTCGTGTCATGAGAGACGCTTTTGTTAGACTACATTATCTTTGTCTGTAAATGATTATGAATTCTGAAGTGATATTTTTTCTTTTTATCCGTATAGACACTGACCAAAAATATACAGTGGATTATAACGTACGTTATGTATAAAGTATTATGTCTTCATAAGATACCAATAAAAGATTCACTTGTTAAATATCTGTGTGTATCTGAGGTTAAGTTGATCTTGCCTCATTTAATAAGTAATAAGACGATCTACACAGAAAACTAATCTTTAATTATTCAGGGACATACCTCTAGGATTGTACCTGGTCAGAATAAAAACATGATTTTTAAATTGCCGTAGTGATGAAGCCATTTAATAGAAACATAACTTTCTGGAAAAATAACAGATTATTCTCCGAAGTGATAAAATTAATTCAAAATCATCATATAACCTACATGTATTATACATTTATCTATATCACATTACGGTATTTAAAAAAAGAAATCGAGACTAGAACGTTTCAGAATATTTACCTCTTCTTTAAATAAGCAACTTCTCTGATTTAATCTGATGTACTGACGAATGCCTAATCAGCTGTCGTTGTCACACTTTGGCACTTGTCCAACTAACATATTAGATTATAAACTGTCCTGATCACTAAATGCCTTCAGCGAATCTAAGGTTAAATCTACGATGTAAATGCGAATTCGTTTACAAATCACGAAATTCAGTAATAGCGGTATTATGATTGTTTTTTTTAAATAGCTTGTCTATCAGCTTGTTTACCAGATAATAAACCAAAAAGTGCCTCTTAGGGCCCTTTGAATAATGCAATGATATAATGCGTGATCTTGTATAAAACAAACCCACTCAGGCATGAAAAGACATACGGTCGAAAGTTTGTGGGTCATGTCCAGGAAGTAATCAATTTGACACTTGGCAGTCGATTTCTCAAGAAATACATATCCATTAAATGTCCATAAAACTGTCATTCTTGGCAAAAATAAATCCTCGAAATTTGAATCCCATTTATATAAATGATTCACAGTGAATTATTAGAAAACCAGATGCTTTAGGAAACAAACCACACATTTGATTACAAATTTGAAATTGCATACAGTACAATCAAGCAATGAACAAAAATAAGAAAAAAAATAAAATTAACTTTATAACAAGAGGCCCATAGGACCTGTGTTGTTCAGCTGGTTGAGTTTGCTGAATTTAAACTGAAGAAAAAATATGTGAAACACTATCTATTTCTCTCGGAAAAAGGGATTAGATGCACTCTTTGAAATCTCTTCACAAAAGATACGTTCACCTGTACATAACATAGCAACATGCTTTACGATTGCTGAAGTAAAATTTGGTGGTAATCTTGGAAACATATTACACACAGCTTTACAATGCACTAAAAGCAGTCAGATTAATTCCCCGACGCATGCGTGCTATGCCGATGTTGCTCTTTAGTTTGAGCTTGTGGCCAATTGTGTTGTCCTGTTGGGTCAAGAGTGATGAGAACTGTTCTCTTCTTGGTCATCCTATGCTCACCATTCAACTGTTGTTCCAACTCTTGTCTGTACCTTACATGCAGTAATAGGAAACGGTTTCATTTTTATAATCATTAATGGATTCACCTAATTGAATTGTAACCCGATTCATAGAAGAATAAAATATGTGTATAGCTTATTTGAATGTCCATATATTACAAGTATTTACTAAGCATTGGATTCCCCTTTAGTTTGCGTCTGTTGAATCTCTACGTAAAATCGGATAATCCCTCAAAATAAAGTGTTGATATGGAAAAATATCTTTGTTTTAACATACTGCAATATCATTTCATAATTTCATTGGTCATATTTTTCATTCTGAAGATTGGCACCATCGTTTTTCTTCTTTTTAATTGTTTTCGACTGTCCCTGATTATTTTTATGTCATTGACCAATTTGTATCTACTTTTTACCTGCGTTTCGGTCTTTTTCCTGCCAGTCCGAGTTCAGAGTTTATGGTTTAGTCACTCTTACGTCGATAAATAGGAGCTCGAAAAATGTATTTCCACCACTTTTTAGATTTCCCGCGACAATAATACTGTATCTTGAGCTGATCGAAAGATCCACATCCGTCGTAAACCATAACATTACACAGCATAAGGAACCAAAAAGGTTAGCTTGCTGCCTTCTTTCTTCATGAGATGGACAGTGACATCCTTGTTGGTGTACAAGAAATTTTCTTTGACCAATTATAAAACAACTATCACACATGAACATATTGTTTACAAGAATTATATGTCCGAATTGTCAGAAATGACGTGAACATAGAAAATATCATATCATTAAACTAGTTTCTTTATTTTTCTTAATAATATTTCATAGATAATGCTCTCTCTCTCTCTCTCTCTCTCTCTCTCTCTCTCTCTCTCGATCTCGATCTCGATCTCTCTCTCTCTCTCTCTCTCTTTCTCTCTGGATTTTACTTAGTCTATCTTGGCTTTTGAAAGAGACGTTAAGAACAGCCAAATCTCACTCCAGTAAAGCTTGTAATTTGGAAGATCGAGGATTGATATCCAGGATATAGATATTGATGCCGACGAAAGCCTTCATTTCTTCCGGTGACGTCACATTCCATGGAGAGTCGAGCTAAATGACGATCTTTTGGGAGGCATAGATATTTGTCTGGAAAGCCACCTGCCGCAAATTCATCGTAGAAAACCAGCCAATGGAAACAATCGATTTCTATCTTCTCTAGGAGAAAATTGGTGGGTCCTGTTGATTCTCGAAATGGTGTGGTGAGTACAGACCTGCGAGTCTAGCCCCATCCTTCAGTCGGTACAGGTACGTGTTCTTCATTATCATCTCGGTGATGACCTGCTAAGGGATCATCATCTTCACTAGACCAATCAATGTCGGAACCTTTCGAGTCGTCACATCTTCTGGCCCCAAACCCTCAAACTCTGGCTCTCCGTCATCACTATCCAAGTCGAAAGCAGAAGCAGCATCCGAGTCCGACATTGTGTTGTCAGTGTACACAACATGGGAAAACCCCATCGATATTTAGAAAAAATGACTATAATTAGCCAATTGCCTTGTTTGTAACAAATTAAATCAAAGCAATATTCATAATTTTGATAACTTTTATTGATTTATTACACATGTCGCATACTAATAGCAACACGTGTCTCACGACGTCTATAGTTATCACGAAGGAAAGAAGACACGTTTTCTGCGTCATCATGAAGGATACGGGAACACGTTTTTACGACGTCTCAGGAGGCCACGGGTAGGGATAAGGGTTAAGCAATAGCTTGTTGTTACTTAGATTATCAATGACTTTCACCAGGAAAAGGGACAATTAGCTACGCTACTTTACTAGCATATCTATAACTACTATGTTTGATTCATAAATGGATATCTAATATGTTGTATGTCACGGAAACATAAACTAATGTTTGGATTTAAAACCATGGGACATCTGACAATTAATGGAAAATTTGCCACATCGAATTTTGATATTGCAAATGCTTTAGTACCTGCTGTTCCCAAACATTCGTCTGCAAATAATCCAACAATTTCAGACCGCGCGAGAAAAAACTAAATTGAAATTTTCTTCCGAAAAAAAGAAAACTTACAATCAACATTTCTCAATGTTAGAACTTCGAGACTGGTTGAAAAAAATCACATGACTCTGCAACAGGACCTAATAATATTCACTATCAGTTCCTAAAACATCTACCAGAGTCGCCATTAGACAACTTCTTGATATTTTTTTATATTACTAGACCAGGTAATGTCCCAAAGGTATGGAAAATTGCAACTGTGATTCCTATCCTCAAACAGGATAAAGACACGACATATCCCTCCAGTTACCGCCCACTGTTACTCACGAGTTGCGTTTGTAAAATTCTAGACCGGATGATAGATTCAAGATTAATTTGGTATCTGGAATCCAATCGCATAATATCAGCCCTACAAAACGATTTTAGATCTAAGCGAGGTACCAACGATCACTGAGTTAGACATGAAACCTTTGTGCGTGAGGCTTTCTTAAAGAAGGAACACTTGGTTGTTGTTTTCTTCGATTTGGAAAAGGCTTACGACACATAGTGGAAATACGGTATAATGAAAGATCTGCACGATATAGGTATTAAAGGTAAACAACTAATTTTAATTTCAAATCTTCTATCAGAGTATTTCAAGTCCGGCATGAAACGACCCTTCAGATGTTCATCAGCAGGAAATGGGAGTACCACAAGACAACATTTTTTCGGATACACTTAATGGACTTAAAATTAACAGTATTGTCAAAACATTCGCCCCTTCAATGGTGGGCGCTTTTTATGTCAGTGCCTTCATTATATGCTATCGATCTAAGCATATGAATACCATCGAAAGACAACTACAACAATGTCTGAATCGACTACGGGCAGATGAAAATGGATTTAAATTTTCACAGTCAAAAACAGTTTGTATGCATTTTTGTCAAATGCGGAAGCAACACGACGATCTAAATCTATCTCTCTGTGGTGCACCCATTCCGGTCGTTGAGCAAACCAAATTCATAGGTGTTATATTCGACAGGAAATTATCGGTACTTCCACAGGCCAAATGCCTTAAGGCAGGTGGTGTCCCATACTGGTTGGGAGCTGATAGAAAATTTTGCTAAGACTTATAGAGCTCTCATTAGTCTCATAGTCAAAATTTGACTACGGTTCCTTTGTGTATGGATCTGCTAGATCGTCGGTATTTGAATTTCTGCACTTTTATAAAACACAAATATTGATATTGATCACATTCAGTCATTTGGAACGATAGAAATTCCTTCCTGGCTCTTGAATTCACCTGAAGTTGACTTTTCACTTCATGAAATGGTTAAAATTAGACACTGACAGTTGCACCTATCGTTCCTTCTTCTCGAAATTGCAGTTAAGACAAAAAAAACTACATTTATATGATGATCGTTCAAACGATAATGATAAGGTTGCCGCGGCCATGGTTTCACAAGATAAAGCCTATGGATGCCGGCTACCGAACAACGCCTCAATTTTCTCAGCAGAAGCGCGAGCTATCTACCTCGCCCTTGAATATATTCAAACAAAGTGATGAGTGCTGTTATCTATTCAGACTCTCTTTCTGTACTACAAAGTCTTATCAATAGAAATATCGAAAATATTTTCATTCGTAATACATTAATGCTATATCATGAACTTGCCATTAAATTTCGTATTGCTTTTTGCTGGGTTCCTGGGCAAATGGGAATACCAGGTAATGAAAAAGCAGATCGTGCCGCAAAGGAAGCTTTATCACTACCACCTGTTGTTTTTAAACTTCATTTTAGAGATTTAAAACCATTTATTAAAACAAATTTTAACAGTTCAGTGGCAGGAGGAATGGAATACATATACCAATAATGAATTGCACTTCGTAAAACCTATTATCGGTGTTTGGTCTCTATGCTATAGTGACAACCACCGAGACGACGTTGTCATTGCCCATCTTCGGATTGACCGTACATACCGTACACATTCATATATGTTGAAAGGCGAAGATACATAGGATGTGATGAGCCATTCACCGTTGAACATTTTTTTATTGGACTGCATTGACCTTCTGTCTACTCGAGATTTTTTAATCGTAACATTACCAGTGTAAAAAGCATTTCAAAAAACCTGAAAGATGTTGATCTATATGATAGATTATGACGTAACATCTTGTTCTTTTGTGATAATATACCCATTAAAGATTTTTAGCATTTGTCTTTAACCTTTTAGTTTGTTTAATGTTATTTCATTTTGGATCGCTGTGTTTTTTAACCTGTTGATTGCCCTAATGACATTTTATGTGTTGACGGGCCGTTTAGAATGTCATAATACTAATAATGATAATAACTTAACTTAATATTTTAAAACATTATTACCAGAATTGTTCTAAAGGCAAAATCATTTAATTAATGTTGATATTGCTAATTGGACAGCGGATTATTTTCTTACCACAACACACTCTATTTCAACAGATAACCCTTGGTTAGTGCTACCCGGAATTGTATTTGTGGGCGTAACTGGTGTGGCCTTATTGGTATCTAACTTTATACAGGTAATACTCTTCCTTTTATTTCTACTGTCGTATTAATCGGACGAATTTAACTTCCGTGTCAGCAAGGTACCCCAGGAATATGACGAAAACTCAGAAACACCAATTGTACCAGAAATAGAAAGTAGCAACATTTACTTGACCCATGTAAACGAATAATGACAGCTGATCTGTAATAATGATTTATAGCTACCCGACATTTCCCTTAGATATATACTCACGGGATAAAGAAACGCAAACTAAACTTTGAAGATGATTCTAGGCATGACGTCGAGTATGATATTCAATGTCGGAAAGTAAGAATGAAGATTAATCAATACAGAACAAACTGCAAAATCCACGATCTGTATCTGGTGCTGGCGTTGTCGAACCTGTCTATCCATAGCCCAACAGGGGATAGATCGGGCTCTATGGCGGCCAGTCCCATCGGTGGATATTGTTGTTAGTGAGAGAGTCGCGAAATATCCTCGCTACATGGGACCGAGCATTATCTTGCTGGAATGTGAGCTTGTTTTGCTGCAATGTTGGGACAACATGGGGTTGGAGGATCTCATCTCTTTATCTAGAGGTCATAACCAATCCACTCCCAAACTCATCCGTCCCTGCTACGCTGCAGTCGGCAAAACGTTCTCCACGACGTCGGTATAAACAACGTCGACCGTCCGTAAAACACGGTGAACCAGGACTCATCACTAAACAAGACCCGCCCCCACGGCCTTAATCGGAATATTATGGGCCACACCCAAGCCATACGACGCAGACCTATAAAGCGATAACGTGCCCGCAGACCAACTTCCCGCAACCGTTTCCTTACAGTTTTTGCATGGATAGGACGGTTATGAGTACCAATGGTATGGAGGGCAGATTCGGTGGCAGTAAGGTGCCGATTGCGCAAATGAATAAACCTGTCCTGACGTTGTGACGTCACGCGCGGACGCCCAGACCTAGGTCTGTCAGCAACCCGCCAAATTTCCTTTAGACGTCTAACAAGACGTTCTATAGTGCAAATATGGACACCGAAATGTCTAGCAACCCGTATTTGCCTTTGGCATTGCATAATCATGGCAATTGCCTGACTCCTGTGACTTCCGTTAGCCGTGCCTTTGTTTAATGCTACCAGAAATTAAACAAAATACCGATAAAATGAAGTGTCTCAATGAAGACTACCTAATGGTATGACGAGCAGTGAAACTTAATGTCACTTCACTGCTGTGCACGAAATTTTCCCTTTTTTTGCTTTCCCCGCAAGACATCGTCACGCAATACAATAATGCAACATTCGATACAGAACCACGTGCGCTGTAACCTAGAGCGTTGCTTGACCGATATTCATTGTTTTTGATCACGTTTGCAAGATATTGCAAATTATTTCACATTGCGTTTCCCTTGCGTATATTTCCATTTTTACAAGATATGATTTATTATTTAACTAATATTTAGCAGCCGTATGACCAAATAACAGCATGGGTAGTTATACTGAGACGATCAAGTACTTGACTGATTAGTATAGGGAAATGTGAAATAAAATGCAAAATGATATAATAATTTGAACCGTGAAACTATTCGAATCAAAATGGATTATTATTGAAATGTTTGAATTTAATATCAATATTGTCCTGGAGTTTTACTTCCTGTACAGGGAATCAGGTTAAAATCTATTGACATATGTGATATAATTGATGAAATTGTAACCTCTTTTACAACAGATACCATTCTTACTACCAAGAGGCTCATCTATTTACATTGGGCTATTGAACGGCTGTTATGACTCGTCAGTTCTTACGTTCATGTTTGTAAAGGTATGTACATTACTGAAGGCGTGAGTTGTGAGTATCCTAGGGATATTGTCTCAATCTGTTGTTTTTCCTGTATATGGTACTTAAAACCGGAAGGATGCAAAGAGTGGTCTGTTTCATTCGGTACAACGAACTATCATTTAGGATATGGAAGAGATGTGAGAAGAAATCACCTTCAAAGATATAATAAACACGTGCTTTTTCATTCTTGTTATTTATTTTAATAACAGCCCACTGACACAGAAAGTGGCACTAAGGTAATAAATGAGCAAAATATACAAAACTAAATCTGTAAAAGGCAGATATCAAAACATTGATAGAAAGTGTTTAAAATAAATATATTATGGTGCAAAATAACATCATTCAGAAAGTCTAGAATTCCGTTTAATATATTTTTTTTTCTGAAATAATTTTCAATGTAAAAACGTTCTTTATATTTCAGAAACTGTATGAAGTTGGAGTCGATAAAAAGTTTTCTTTTATTGGTGTTGCCATTTTGATAATCATCATTTCCGGTGTGTGTACACTATTACATCCGACACGAGATCTAAAAGGGGGAACTGATGCAAAGAGTTCTCAAACAAACGACGGGAATGTTGAAATGGACAAAGGTAACCCTGGTTTATATTTTTAGGTTTCTTATCTATGATGTATGTTCTTGCCAATGGATAAAAATGAACTTACCCTCCTACATCTAACATTTGTAAATGTCGATTTGATTTTCCGAACCCCTCGTCCGAATTTCCACATTTTTTGCCTTTTGTATCACTAAAATGACCGAGATTGACGATAAAGGTGTATGATGTAATTTTACTCCCTGTTTAACAGTGTATACAATATTGCTGAATCCCTCTTCCGTTTCCTGGCATTCGAGTATCTAAGTATCTACAGCTTAAAGTTATTGTTGGTTATATTGGTAAATGCTGTTGTCAATATCAGGTGCATTGTCATATATTGTTAAATCTTATTTCAGTTTCCGAGGATGCTGTACAGACGGTACCAGAACGTACATCCGATATGAAGGCAATTAGAGACATTCTTCGCCATAAGCTTTTCATTTCACATGTTGTTTGGATCACGTTCGTTCTGTTGAAATACGTTTACTTTTTGGGATCTGTGAATAAACTGCTGGAACAACTTCTTCATGATGAAAGTCGAGGTAGGTTTTTTACACACATTCCATAAAATCCAATGATAAAAGTACAAATGACAGAATTGATATCATTTCTGGTAGTTCTGGGTCAAAACTGAGCAACATAATCAACTCATATTAACGTTTCTGCCGTTTTTTCCATACTAGTGAGCTACTTCTCCGATGTCATGACATTCACATTGATTGGCAGTTTGGTTTCATCATTCATCGCCGGTTATACAATACACGCAATGGAGAAACTTTTTACAGGTAAGTTATTTCATAATTTTCATTAACCTTCATCGATTGAAACTCTGTCCGTTTTTTGGTGACGTTTTGCACGAAAATCGTGATAATTGGAATAGGTCCCTGTATATCAAAGCAACTGCGATATGTAAACATCATAGGTTAGGGGTACAGGGAGAATCTGTTCAGAAAAAAAAATTATGATAGGGAAATAGCAATCATGTGTATGATAAAGCATGGTGGAGAACTGTCTTCGCTAGATTCGTCGTAGGAAAAGATCGAGATAAGCGGTTGATATATAATAATCAGTCGGGTCTTTGATTTCTAATTCAGGTGGGTATTATTGATTGTCATGACCGAACTCAACGAAAATGTCAACCATTTATATGATAGGGTCCTCCGTATATTTCGTTTTTAATTTGGACATAATTTTCATGACGTACTCTTCAGCATGGTTCAGAAACAGGTATTGCACCGCCGTTCAACTTAATTGGAAATAACTCACATAATCATGAAGACGTTCTTTCAAAATTCTGAACGTTTCCATGACTGCAGCATTGTTCATGTGTGGCGGTGGATGGAAGATAGAGTATAACATTATGTGTGCAATATCTTTGATCAGAAGTATTGTTTCTTTTTAAAGTAGATATTTATTTACTTGCTCGGTTTTTATGACGTCTAAAGGTAATATGAGGATGGTGATACCACTTGCCGTGACATCATCTTTGGCTATACTTTTGTCAGCACTGGCTTTTGTACCAACAGCCGATATCCTCTACGTTGATTTCATCATATTGACATTTCTCCGGTCTTTCATATACACTACCAATATGGAGTTCATCAGAATCACGTAAGTGTTTTAAAGTAATAAATGTTATATCGTAAATGTGAAACATTAAGGCTATAAGGATCGATACATGTCGATTAACGTTGACAGATTCACATCATCAATACACAATACATATATATCTAAATGGCAGAAGATAAACATAGTGGTACTTTACTATAGCGATATTTGACGTACTAAAGTTTATCGGAGGTGAAAGTATTTTTAACATTTAACAACAACCGGAATTGAATTTTCTTTATTGAATGATGTGGTGGTTATCTATGAAATAATGTATATTACTTGTTATACCTATCATTTCGTGTCTCATAGAAATGTTATATTTGACTTTCAAGTTTTGGATAAGGTAAGAGAAAAAGATATTATGTTGAAATTGAATCGCCACCTATTTCTGTTTCCCGTTCAGTATAAGTTGTCGCTTTCCTAGAATTAGAGATAAATGTTTTCACTGTCATAATGGCCGACAAATATAGCGAAGAGTGTTACTTTTAGTTCTTGTCACAATGACGATAATTATTGACAGCGAGACAAAATTGCAATGACATTATTTTCCAAATTTATTTATGAAAGTGTAATTTTTCAGATTCCCTTTGAAATACAGCGGCATGATATTCGGATTTGTAATAGCTATATCTGGAATTCTGACCATAACACAATTTGGTCTTTTTGCATGGACGGAGAAATACGGTGATGCCATGATGCATGTAAGTACTGTTGTGTTTTGTTTTTAGATATCGTTTTCTGCAATATGTTATCTAAAGCCAATTCTAAAAAGAAACGTTTCAATCTCGACGTTGAAATCTGATAAGAATGTAGATCCAAATTCTCGCTCAGTTTTCACACAGGATCTGACAACATCCCATAAGCGGTCATGTTGTGACCCTTTGCGTAAGTCAATAAAATCACCGCTTACCGAATCGTGAAATGAAAGAAGGTGCGCAAAATTGCTTGCATAATCCTATTTGTACAGCAAGTCATTAGCCAAATGCAAGAGCATCTACATGTCAGTGTGATTAAACTTCCTATCTCATTTCTCATACCTATATGGCGAATAATGGAGCGATAATTTGATTATGCTTTTTATAAGATAGGCTGCTTTGTTGAGAATGATGGTTATTAGCATTAATTTGAAATATTCGACGCCATGAATACAAACGACTAAGTTAACGATAGACACTTTTCGATTGTTTCAGCATAGTTTTAGTTCTTAATTCTATTGGGACGTTACCATGACTTCAATAAGAAAACAATTTATTTTTTCTTTAGTTAATGGAAGTTATTTACCTCACTTATTGCGTATTAATGATTTGATCTAAAGCGTTTATCGTAAATATTTTAAATGTAAGGGAAAAAAGAAACAATGTTAATACTTCGAAAAAATTAAAATAACGAACATATTTTAATACTCATCCACTTATCTTTTTGGTGGAGATATGTTTGTGACATTTTGGCGTGTTTTTGAGTTTCGATTGACATGTTGATTTTCCCGTTGAGTTGTACACCTTACATACATATGGTTGGTTATATTTGAATGTAAATTGCTAAAAGGTTCTATAAAATCATGATAATTTAAGATTGTACAAAATACATACACACGAGTATCACAATTTCATACAAATTTAGAGTCGGCCATAGTAGGGCCAAACAACTGTCAAAAATGCATCAAACAGTTTTTTCGTCCTTCGAGAACACAGTTCAATAAATTTGTTAATTTTCGTGAACATTCAAAAACAATGCCAAGTATACGTGGATGAATGCAAACAGCAAACATGACATGGAGATGACGGCCAAAACTCAGGGACTAAATTTGTGTTTCGAGTTTGTCATGCAGGTGACCACTTCTTTCACAAAAATTATGATAATTGGAATAGGGAGTAGTACCATACAGATTGATTTGTTAATAAATATAATAACACCCATAAATGCGTTTAATTTGATATTTTTATCCACCAGGTGAACTTGTTCCTGTTATGCCTGTCAACAGTCTCCCTGTTACATCCAATCATCGTCTTTCATAGTTACAGACGCCAGAATCAAAGTTACAACCTGTAAATGGAAAAGGTTATATTTATATCACTTATATTACATCTTGTTGTTATTTACATGTTACATATTATGTAATACATTGTTTTATTTCTTGTTTTTGATTTCTATATGTTACAAGGTTCAACCAGACTATAAATAAATTATCCTTTCTTTTGGTCTGATTTTTTTTACTATTGTCTTCTCTGCGGCAAAGCAGTGATATGTATTGTTTTATTTCCAATACGTCCATGAAATGTTTTGGATTCAGCCTTGTAGACTTTATTTGGAACATTCTTTTCTGGTTTGTATAATGTTAACAGAATAGCACAATCAGAAGATCTCACTATGTCCTTCCTTGGTGCACAAGGATTATCGTATGACCGTTAAAGTGGGTCGATTCCGTACCGTCCCGTACACTCGGTACGCCAGTGTTAAAATGTTTCACGCTAGCTAATTGTCTAATGAAGGTGACAATGCTGTTATTGAAAAGTCACACTTAAATTTTCTATTGGTTGTGATACTTCACATTCTAACAGTTCAGACTTAATTTGTAGGTGCGTTTGTCTTTGTTATGTTTTATAGGGTTAGTGTCCTCTCTAAAGTCAGGGTCATAATAGGAAGGATGTTGTCAAGAGGAGAACCATGGGTCGTAATAAAACACAAGAAAGAGAGCATGCGTACAAAGTTTGTGTAATAAATATAAAGAACCCTCGCACCATTTAGGTAGCATTCATTACATAACATCTTCAGGTTGTACAAATGATTTGTGTTTAGCGTTATATATCTATTTAAAGAAAACGATAATGAGGAAACCTAGGAAACGGGAAATATTTATTTAAACCTCTGCTTTGTTTTTTACCTTTATGCAAAAATCTTTCTTGTCATGAGCAACAGTACTTTCACCTTATGTTCATCCACGTTTTTGACCCGTTAATTCTCGACCCCATGTACTACACATTTGTTTTCCCTAACATTGCGGATACAAATAGATGTCTAATCCAGCTCAGTTATTTACCTTATACACAGAACTACCATTTGTAACACAATAGAAGTCCGAAGGTTTGACTGTGATTATAATTTTGTTGTCCATAGTTATTGTGCAGGTCAACTCTCTAGCTTTGTTATTTAAGTGCTGTCCACAGGTTCTCGCTAGCTTTATGATCTGCATGACTCCTGCCAAATAGGTCCTTTTAAGGTTGGTCAGCCTAATAAATTGTCCCTCGTGAATGCTGGGCTGTCTGGCGGAGACCACTGTGTAACGCGGGACGAGTCTCGGTTAAGCATTCAAGGAAAGGACACAGGAAAAGCAGAATAATTATATATATATATACATTTTTTTACATTAAGTACAACTAAATACTGACAAGTTCACATTCGTTCTCACGCTCTCTATCATTCAGTCACTTATCTCTACTAGTAATATTATTTCCTACAGGCTCTTCACAGATATAAGGGGTTGTTGTTGTAATACTTCACGTTGCGTCTCTCATTGATATGGAATAATTTCTCTCTGTTAGCACACACCTTGCTGGCAGTGTAAAAGGTAAGAGAGGCGAAACTCCCCTGATGATGCGGCTAACAACCAAGGTCCAATAAAGCTCGCCATCAAACCAAAAATCTGGTGTTATACTGGGTTCCCCACGTAGCCTGCCTGAGAGCATGACAATCCTTACATCAGGTGACCTTGACCCCGATGTTTGTAAGTCACCTTTTTGCTGGCTCTAGATACTGCTCATATGATCTGCACATCATGTGCAGCTATAGAAGCAAATGTAAATAAACGCAATTATAACAAACACTCACATTTCCATACTGTAGTTTAATTAATACACTATTCCCCCATAATAAACCCTACTGCGCATATCACCTGACAAATACATTAAATGTTATGATGCGTGACCAAATTCGATATAAAATAACAAGGAATCAACGTGAATACATATGCTGTCTATAGGCTTCCGTACAATTTACACCTGCGTGCACTCACAGTAATACAGGTAAATACGACTGCAGCTCAGGGCTTCTATACATATTTTACATGAACGAAAACTACGTTGCTAAGTGTAACAAACAGATTTACAGTCACTAAATTTCATATACATGTCAATAAGTTAGTTAAGTAACACTTCTACAATAAATACAGTAATAGTGTAAAGTTAAATATATTGCATAAAACATCCAACTAAAATAACAAATTACGAATGAGAGAAACAATGCTTACCCTAGTCAGTGTTCTGGGCTCCATTCCACGTCATAGTACGCTCATAAAAATGGTCGTCGTTCTCACCTCCCCGGTTACACACCCTCCATACTCATTCACACATATACTCAGTGACCCATTTCTTAACAGAAATATTATACCGCCCTCTTGCGTTCGTGACAAACTGTACTTACGTCAGTCGAAGTCTTGTTCCGAATTATTCATAGCTTTCTTAGGAATGCTGACCTGGTGTCTCCTGACTGAAACATTTCACAAGCCTTAGACAAATATTGTACCCAAAATAACTCGAACCCGTTTGTATCATTTTCTAGACTCGAAGCTTCGTTTTATATAGGTTTTTGGCAAAATCATTACAAATGAGTTGACTCCTTTTTTTCAGCATTCCCATTGCCCGAGGAACTAAACAATATATATGTTTTTGTATATTGCTTAACTTTCTGTCAACGGCTATGGTCATTTTAGAATTAAGAACAAATAAATTTCGGAAGGTGAAATTTTGTGTTTCAGTTTTGTTTTTCGAAGACTGCAATGTACTCGTGTATGTCTCATTTTGTTACTTTGTTTTATATTGTTTAACGTCCTGTTAACGGCTAACGTGACGCCATCTAAAGTGATTCCTTCCCCAAATTGATACTTTTCATGGAAATTTGTATCCGTCAATCCCTGTGAATGAAATATGAAGGAATTCACATTAAAGATGTAGAAATAACATCTACTTGTATATTCAAGACTTATTTATTGGACAAACCAGCCAGGTGTCTCTGCAAGACCATTTCGAAATTAGGAAAACTGTTGTGAATGTTTCCAACACAAATCATGTAGTCGTTTTTCTAGTTCTTCTGAGCGTTATTAAACAAAACCGAAGAATCCGTCATGGTATGTTTACCAACAACTTGCACTCATCTCATAACTGCCAACAGCATAGGAATATCAAGTTTCTATCTTGCATCAACAAACAGTAGGGGTCTCCGCTTGCTCATTGAAGTCTTTGATTTTCCTTCATCTTTATTTTCTTCTACATTTGTTAAAAATGAAAACGTAATACATACTAGTAATAAAATTTGATAAAAGCAAATGATTTACTGGATGTAAATATAAAATGCCATCGATTCTTACCTTGGATCGTTTTCTAGGCCAACATGGACGTTGACGATGGTATTGGCTTATGAATGCCAATTGAAAGCAGGTCAATGCTTATATGAACTAGTTTTGTATAGAAAGTATTTATCTGACACGGTGAGCATAAAACAAACACTCTCACAATGTTAAAGGTGTAAGTGATAAATCACTAGCTTCGACAGTCCATTCACTGTAAACGTAATCTCCTGTCATTGGTAAATATGATTCCACCACCTTGGAAGAGGCTGTGTGCAATGGACCGTGAAATATAGTAAGAAAAGGGGAGAAACCAACCTTTTCTGTTAATAAACCTTTTGTATGTTCATTGGAGGTGTATGAAGATAAGACATCTTGTGGCGAGGAAACAGATGATGAAGTGGTGAGTGGATCCCAAAGTTAAAATCCTTCACGCCGAAAACCGGTGATAATGTTGTAGGAGATGACACAGAGGAGACCTAGGATAAAACAGCAATATAATGTAGATTAAATAGTTTGCTCTATTATATCTTATCTAAGTTTTATTAAATATTGCTTTTCACTTGTATCTTCTGCTTTTGTATAATTACCAGGAAATGCGGGCTAAGGCAAAATAATATGAGTATTGTTCCCAATAATGTTAAAACGGTATGTTACCATATCCTGTCTGAGTGTCTTAAAAATACAGCGTCATCTTACTATTACAATATTATTTTGTTTTACCTTTCTGATTGTTTTGAAATTCTCCATATAACAATATATATTATCTGAATATCAACATTTAAGTGACATTTGTTTGAGGAAAATCTGTTTTCGCTATATAATATATGTTTTGTAAAATATTCTCAAAGTGCTTGCAAAATACAGGTGCATCTAACTCATAGATACTCGTGCAGACGTGAAATTATTGAAAACGATAACACAAACAGTATAATGGCGAAGCAACGCTTTTTAACTCAATCAATTTTTATGTTATTTTATTCGTCCTTAGTCACGTGTTCCCAACACTAGTTATACTTGTGTACGCCTGTTTGTGACCGTGACCGTGGCCTAGTTTATCACCTCCGGTTTGCTCTCATTGTTAGGCAACACAGCGTAATTTGATATCTATGCAAACTGCCAGTGTCCTGTTACATCTTCTATTATAGTCCTGTGCGACGTTCACACAGATACACAGTTTCAGATAACAATTGGCGGAATGCTGATAAGGCAGTTTACCTTGCACGAGTGTGTATTTAGGGTACAGAAAGTTACGGTGGTCAACAGTGGATTTATTCTGATAACATGCTACTTTGATATACAAGGAGAAGTGTTCATCAGGTAAATATACTAAATCATTACTTACAATGATGATGTTTCCTTTACTTATACAAGCATAATTGGTGCACTTATTAATTGTCCAGTCAGTCTCTTCAAATGTACACGTGTTTACGTAAATTGAACACTAGAAAGTTTGATCGATTACTGATCAAACTATTATACGATATCCCATATATCAACACTCCTTGCTTCGTGTAACACAAACTTAGATGAATTTACAATCCTTAAAATCGACATTTCCTGTACGATCATGTTTATTTTGATATTTTTGATACCGGTGTCATATCATATTTGTATCCGCCATCATAAAAGTACCCGGATACTTTTTCCACCAATCACAAAAGTATTCGGAAATTCTTTTTTGCCCATTAGAAAAGTATCCCCCCTATTATATTTATATTCCCCTTGATATCAATACTATAACTTCATCTGTTTTACAAATTTACTGTTCATACTTCAGTTGTTGGTCAGTCTGTATAATCAATATGTCAATATATCAGGGGTACCTGTACATGTGTCCACTTAACTGATTACACCTGGTGAGGTGTTACATAACACTTGTAGGCAGTACCCAGGTTGGGCAGGGCTTTCCTGTCTTTTTAAAATTAGCAGGCTATAACAGCTTGTAGGTAAAAAGAAGATATTATCTTAAACTTTACAGGTTACAATGATATACACGTAATAGATATGCTGGCAGGGGAATAGGGTGGGGGTTGGGAATGTTAGAAGACTGATCTAGAATATCAATGAATTTTGCTGTTTGGCAGCTCTTCAGGGGATTGATATATAGAACAACCAGAACTATTTTATCCTTTGACTCTGAGAGAAAGTTTATTTCATATAGAATCATACATACAGTAGTTAATAGCAATGATGAAAGAAGTCATAAAGTATAGTAAATAGGGATAATAGTAATTATCTTATATATATGGGGGGTGCATTTATAATGGGTATCAGAATAATATTTAGGGGGACAATTATCTGAAATATAAGGGGAGAGTTGCATTTATGGGTGTTATTATGTAGAATATCAGGGGACATATAATTATCATATACTGTGTGTTATTTTACTTGAAAATGTCCCCCTTATTTATGGGATGGGGATTTCTGCTGTTTCAAAGATTTCATCTAAATATTATGTCCAGAATGGTGAGGCCACAACAAAGGGCAAGTTCTTACATTTTAAATGTGTTTATCTCTTGATCCCCAGCATTGCTATATATTGTTATGGGGTGGGGATCTCAACAACTTCAATGATGTAACAAGGAAACTAAGTCCCTGGTGATGGGGCCAGACACAAATGCCAATTCTAATATCATGGTTGTAAGGCATTGCTATATATTGTTAAATATAGGATTATACATGCATTACTTAATTACATTTATGATGGATATCAGAATAGTATTTAGGGGTCAATTATCTGACATATTAGGGGAGAGTCGCACTTTTCGTAAGGAAATAACATGAATACAAACGTTTGATCCGTGATGTAATTAGACAATTATCCGCGATATAAATAAACTTTAAATGACTGACTGCAGACATACGCAAATCGTCACTTGTTTTATCATCTAAGGGTATTACGGAAATTTCAATTGCAGTATAACGTAATAATATAAATGATTGGTTATATGGCACAGAAAATAATTGCGTATATAAGCATTAATTATTATCGTTTTCTATGAATTGTACTTTTAATTCAAGATCACGTACTTGAAATTTTAAATCAGAAATAATATTAGCCAAAATGGGATGTTCTCTTACGTTTAAGTTTCATTCGTTGTTCACTTTTGCACGTTTAAGATGAAGATAGCAAAATATTTGGCCCGCGAGAATGACCGACTTTACAGTATTCATATTGCGAAGCATTACCTAAAGGTAGTCGCGATAAATTACTTGTTTTAAATGTATATCATGTAATGACGGCAGTAATGAATATGAAGCAATGCATTTTGTACGTTTTCAAAATGTCGGTATGCTTTTTATTTCACAAAAGGTTACATAATGAGAACAGTTGTAAATCACTAATTTGGTTCCATAACTTGAAACTGCTTCCTTGTTGTACATCTATATAATTCTACATTCTGTTTCCATGTGAACTATTGATGCAGAAATTGATGCAGATTGTTACAGGGATAGACTGATAAATCGGTGATTGAATACCGCATCAAAGATACTTCGACATATTTTTGTCTCCCTTCTTTTCATTGGTAATGATGAAGATTATCTTGTTTTGTAAGTTTTTTTTTTGTAATATTTTATATTTTTTCAATAGTTTTAATATTGAGTATATTTCATTTTCGATTAATAACATGCAGGTAAATATGTAAATCAAATTCTTACATCTACTGGTGATATGAATCTGTATTCATTCGCAACATAACACATGTCATTGGTCAATGAAAACAATTTTTTAAATTTAATCGCATTGAACAGCTGAAAATTTCTGTTTGAATGGTAATGACGTTAGTGTTTTAACTGCTGCAGATTGTTTTTCATTCACTGAAACAGAATGTAGCATTAAATGTTATATGTATTGAAATTTATGCAATTCGTGTCTTTTTCAGAAAGTGTCATGGATAATGAGTCTCAGTTAGGCTACCTTCACACACTTCCTGTCGAGCCTTACAAATACACAACAGTTACAAGGGCAGCGAAAGAAAATGCCCTTCTTCGTCCGAAGCAGGAGATTTTTATCCTTCGGGATGCAGGTGGGACAAGATCTAGTTTGACTAATGCCAGTCTTTACCAACAGGCTGAACATCTCGCAAGGTACCTAGTAACTCGAGGAGTGAAAAAAGGAGATGTTGTAGCCTTGGTAGGTCCGAACACACTAGAAATGATTATTGGAATGTTGGGGATAATGACAGCGGGAGCTGTTGTCTTGAATATCACCATCAGTACAAAAACAGTGGTAGATCTGAAAGACAAACTATGTTTAACCAATGTTAAGTGTATGTTGTTGGATTGCGGCAGTGATAACAATCTTTTCCTGCCTATAAAGGCCATTCTTCAACATTGCAATGTCCAAACGGACAGTGTAAAAGAGGCGGATAGACTAAAATTAATTTTTATGCGCAAAATGGACATCAAAGATTTTCAAAATACGGACACTTTCGAAACCATACAATTAAAGAAACTGGATCAAGTAGATCTTCCATACATTTTCCCGGAAGATAACGCATTAATCTTCATGACGTCCGGCAGTACGGGTAAACCAAAAATGGCTCTTCATTCTCACTTCAGCCTTACCAGTACACCCTTTTTCATAACTGACCTGCAAGTGGACTATGGTGTCATAGTATACAATGACAGACCGTTTGCCTGGAGTGGAGGATCACCTGTTTTTACTATCTTGCGAGGTGAAACCAGAGTCCTTATGAATGCATATATAACAATGAACAGCCAAAATACAGACTTTCTTTGGGGAATTTTGAAAGAAGAAAAATGTACGCATGCTCTCCTGTTACCCTTTGCTATACAAGATTTACTTGGGTTACCAAAAACTGCTACAGTTGATGGATACAAGCTTCAGCAAGTAGCAACCGGGGGACAAATGATAAACGACTTTCATACTGGTATCATGGGACAGTTCTGTCATAGAATGATGATCGTGTACGGTAGTACTGAGGCTACGGGAATCGCTATGAAAGTGTTATTGGATCGTACAAAGCCGCTTGATGCAGGAGATGTTGGCCATCCCTATCCAGGAGTGGAAGTCAGAGTAGTGGATCCTGAAGAGATTCCCGTTAAAAGAGGAGTGACTGGACAGATCCAGATCCGCTCAACACAATTAATGAAAGAATATGTTGGTAATCTGGAACTCACAAAGGAGGCTTTCACTGATGGAAGGTGGTTTAGAACAAGCGACATCGGTAAAATATCATCGGATGGACGCATGATTCTACTTGGAAGAGAAGTTGATGCAATATCCAGAGGCACTCGAAAGATATATCCTGGTATGCTGGAGTTCTTACTGAAAGGTTTCAAACAAATCAAGGAAGTTTGTATTGTCCCTGTTCCTGATAAAAGGCTGTATGAAGAGATATGTGTTTGTTTTGTTCCATCCGGACCTTTGACTCTAGCTGATGTTCAGCAGTATTGCAAGGAAAACCTGTTCACCGAGAACACCGTTGATGGCCTTGGGGAAATGCCATCATACTTCCTACAGTTTGAAGCTTTCCCGAAGTTAGGAAACGGTAAACCTGACAAAAAAGCGATACGACTTGACGCTGTTTTCAGATTAAACTTGACCCGAGAAGATGAAAGAAATAACTAACCAAAGTAAGTGATGAAGAATATTTTCATTTTGCTGTAGAAGAGTAAAAGATAAAAAAAAACAAAACAAAACAAAAATTTGGAAAAATATCAACGATATTAGTCAGGTTGAACAATATGAGGAGATGCTGCGCTTTCAACATTTGTCTAATGTATAGATGACACCCAATAATAGTCTATGCGGAAAGATATAGGATAATAAGAATAGATGTGCAGTATTTTTAATAAACATATATCTTTATTACACTTACAAATGACATAAAGGAAATATTAATTATGATAAATATTTATAATCATGTTAACAATAATATTAGGACACTACCACCAATAGAAAATAAAATAATATATGAAACTAACTCACTCGGGAAAAATTATATCTACTCGAGAAATACATTAGAACACTATATTTAATTAGATCTACCAACAAAACATCCAAATTGATGGCAGATATGTATAAACACCTTATTTTCACTGTATATAATTTAATTTTGAGTACAAACTGAGTACAAGTTATTCATGTTGAATGCATTTATTTTTTTCAACGATGGACATTTTTTAGGCCCGGTAATAACAAAAAGAACACTGCTGAAATATGTACGGATTGAACTGATACAAAATTAATAAGAAAGTAATTATTTATTTACTTCTGGATTGTTAGTACAGAATATTCTACACGTGAATATTGTAATATTGTTGCTAGCTCTGTTGACTATATCAATCATCCTTGTTAGAAATCTCGATAAAGAACATCATAAAGGATCCAATGTCAACATTTCATTATCTCTGTTATACACTGCACGACCACATGTCGGAATTGCTGGACAAGTATCGGTATTGTCTGGTCAGCTGCTGTCCAGGAATTCGTCACTGTATTCCTCAGGATAGTTAGTGAGCCTTTTGATTCTGGCGATATCTTGGAATACAAAAAGTAATGTATGTTGTAATAAATTTCATTTTTAAACATCCAATACATTCTTCATGAATATCTACGTAAGAGAATCATATTCAAATAAACTGCACACACATAAAGATAAGTATTGTTTTTTTGAAACTGTTAATTTCTAGTCGTAAGGTTTTTTTTTAAAAAAAATATCCTCGAGTTTCCGATAAAAGGACGTTCTTGAAATAATCTGTGCACTTATCTTCTTGTTCATTTTCAATACGGTAATCAAAGGTTTGAACTCATTTGAATAGCGGTACGGTTTAGAATATACACAAGTAATTGATTACAAAATAACATCGGAACACTGATTAGGTGAATTTTCCGAAACGTCGTACCAAAATACCAGCTTTGTAACTTCAAGTATTGTATTCCTCGCCGTTATACTTACCCCAAGACGTATCTTAAATATCTCTGATATCTTAACATAATCAGTTAGAGAAAGACTTGATTTTGTTAAGAAGAGTGGCACATCACAAACGCTCTTTCGGTTTGGTTCTCTATGGGACAGTCTATGGTAGATGGCTACGTTGAGGCGATTGCAAATCTCGGCAGATGTGTTTCCCTTGATATTAACGGCAAAAGCGTTGATGGCAACATCGGGACCAATTTCGGACAGAAAATTACCCACCTCGCTATCCTATGGCAAAGGAATAACATCATGTAAATACCAACATGTCAACATAATCATCCTCGATAAAAAAAATTTGAAAAGAAGATAAACCTTGGGAGAGACATATGTCTTTGTGAATCAATAAGGGAGTGCAAGCAATACTTGATAAAAGATGAATATGTATAAACTATCTAAATGAAATGTATTTAGAGTGAATACATAAGTTATGGTAAGTGTAATCGATGAATACGATATAGCTTATATCCCGTACCGATAAAAGATCTTCGTACGATTTGCAAATGACCCTGTCACGTATAAACTGTTTTGCCGATTCTTCGTCAAAGTCAAATCCTTTAGGTATTGGGATCAAGGGAATGCATACAAAGCCATCATCTTGATTGGCAGCTGTTAGCCATGCACAGTAGAATAATTTTGCACCGAGCAATGCCTGTCCAAGGATTCGTCCGTAACCAGAACTGTTCAGCCCAATCACCTGCGCAATAAAAAGGCCAATCAAGTATATTTATATAATATTGCACAATGATGTACAACTCAATTATAAAATGAGGACCAAATTTTGAAACTGACTGAAATAAATACATCGTACATTACATACGGGAAATGTACTCAACACTTAATTTTATAACATTTTTAACGGCCCATCGACACAGAAAAGAGTCTTTAACATCTTGAAATGGCAGGAAAAGATGAAATAATGAAAGATTTCTCAAACCTGTTCTATATACAGCTCAATATTATTAAGTGGACCATATTTGTGATATTTTGATATAAAGATAAACATCATTTAGAACCTTGAGCCTAAGATTTTACACTCGTTAATACTCTGTAGTCACTGTTGCTTTTCAAGAACCTGTTCCCACGATCACGATTTACGTACAAGAAGCCGTAAACGGATGGATAAACTCGTAACACAGGGGCTCAAATGATGCGTGTTGATAGAAATTATAGGAAAGTTTTAGTCGTCATAGTGATTTAAAAATATCCAATTTCTTTGTGCTCAAAGTTTTTGATGTTTGTTAGTTTGTCTATTGGTATAGTTGTTTATCTTCTCATTTAAGAACGTGACATTACTTACTTGGATTGACCAAGGTTTACATGGCGGGTGTCGTCGATCAAGCATAAGACGCTTACTATTCCGGAACACCTTATTTTATTCTCGTTGCAATTTTTCACGAGTGTAAATCTTTCTTTTGTTCATACTTTGTCCTAACTTTATTGAAATTGTGTTTGGATTGTGATTATGCTCACGTGTTCGTATTTTCATTTTTTTCAACTTATCGTTTCCAGTGGCTCTGGAATATGGCCACATAAATGATTGTTAGGCAGATTAATATCATTTGAAATAAAGCGATTGTTAAGGGGAGGGACTAATAAAATCTTTCATACCCTTTTGGGGTGACCTAGGGGAATCTCAATCGGAGGGGGAAGACTATTGGGATGTCAAACACGAGGCTTGTCGAGTAGACAGTTACTGAACATAAACACTCTTGGAGCCATCACAGCCCTCGGCAGACGACCTTTACTTGAAACTGTACGCCGCCATTGAAGGGAATAAAACATAAAAACTTCTTGCTTGTCTTAACATGAGAAAGAAAAAACATCAAGAAAATAACATCATTTCAGCAATAGAAATATAAAAGGTTTATGGATGGAGAACGACAACGAACGAATCACGATAAATTATAAATTACGTCTTATTACATGTTTTTCTGGCTTAACCCACAGCATTGCGGTAAATAAATGATAACATTTAAGGCGAACGGAGGAGAGATATTTAGATGCAAGAAAAGACGAGAATTGAAAGGCATTAAACAAAGGCTACTTTCCCCGCAAGGACAAAATTGAAAGCACATATCATCCACCGGAGGCATGTTCTTTCCCTGTTACTGCAGATGAACGAGCATGATCGAGTTACTATTGTAACTTATCGAATCACCTTGGCGAGGTATGAATATGAATAGGTGAATTGTTCAGAGTGCACTGTCATAGTAGTGGGATATATGAGTAAATATCACGATGTACCTTGTGCGTTAGGTACACTCCAGCAGATGCTGCTCCTGGTTTTGATGTCTCTAGTCCATAACAGTTACTAGCTGTTATGTCTTCAGTGAAGACTACATCAGTATCAAAAGCAAGCGAAGACTTCATCTGTCCATTTCTGACAAAATTGAACGATGTAAATATTAATTATACAGTAATTTTTATCTCGCAAATTTCAGTTTAAATATAGCCTTGGACTGTAATTTGAATCTCCTATCGCAATGTATTGCCAATTTCCTGTATTGTCACTACTGCACTTTTATATCTATCAATAAGTAACGTATATGCGTTAACACATGTATGCTATCTGAATTATACGATGTTTTATGGTGAATGGCTCATCACATCCTTTGCACCAATAATTATCTTCGCCTTTCAACATATATGAATGTGTAATGTATGTATGACCGATCCGAAGACGGGCAAGGACAACTTCGTCTCGTTGGTTGTCTCTATAGCATTGAGACCATTCAATGATAACAGGTTTAACGGAGTGCAATTTGTTATTGGTATAGGTATTCCAATCCTCCTGCCACTGAGGTTATAAAATTTGTTTAATAAATGGTTTAAAATAAAACATCTGTTTGATTTGATCTTGTAATGCATCACTGAAGTTTATACTTTACACATATATTGAAGAATAAAAAGTTATTTCATTTAGAATTTAGTCATCAATTTAAATCCGAGGTGTTTTGTTAATAAATATATATTCGGATTCGTTTGTGGAATATTGTATATAATAATCATATTTTGCATTTTATGAGATATTCTATCACCGAATTGCACACCGCAAAAAGATTTAATTTAAAGTAACAATGAAGTCTAGATATATGCTATGAATAATCTACTAGGGCTTCACGTAACTGAATAGGGCCGTGTCCGGTTAACGCTTACCTTTCAAAAATGAATAAGAAAAGAAACAGAAACTGTATACGAATGTAGGTATAACTACGATTATAAACGTTTGTATATGAATATCGGCCTCATCTCGATAGCGACGTCATATGAGGGTATCAGAGTATCATTATCGCCAAATTAACACTTAGACGTGACGCGTCAAATGGCCCCGTATCGCATTCAAAATATGCATATTCATAAGACTGAAATAAAGGGGACGTGATCAGCTTTCGTCGTCGCCCCTGTGCCGAAATAGACGGAATACCATAAATGTATGATGTAGACTGAGATGTGACATTGTGAAAAAAAAAGTTCGTCTTAAAGTTGACGACGTAACTGGGGACTCGTCTTTGGTTTCACAATGAGTGGTGCGAAGGATATATCCTGGGAGACTAAGTGTCTGTCGATCCTCAATAGGAGTCATCATGGATTGAGCATGATTTCTACGTCCAGAAAAAAACTTCATACGTGTTTTGGGTTCAGCCTTTTAACAATAATAACTTTTTGTGTGAACACAATGGAAATATCTATGGCCACTGTGGTATTCTCCCTAATTCTCAACCTCGGGTCTGTAATGTCGACGTGAAGTGCTACATCCTACAACTGCAGGGAGATGTGTCGAGTGTTTTCACATGCTTAATCATTCTTATGTGATAGACATATATGGAGAATTGGTGTGTAAATCACTCGGGATATGAAAGAAATCTGTGTTCAATATGATGGACAATATGTTGTAAGACGGGTAGGTAGGCCACACGAGAGTCAAAACAAACACATGTCGATTTGTTAGTATATGTCCCGAAATATAACACATATATTGTATAAATAAAACAATACAATAACAGTTTGTTGTGTTGCTTCTACTGAATCATACTACTGCATCCGGCTTTATAATAATTAACCAAGTTCGTTATTTTTTTCATTTCCATGTCATATAACACCCTAACCACAACATATTTATACACTTCAATTAAAACGTAACGCTTTGGCCACCAGGAAGCCCCAATTGGAGCGGGGCATTAGAGGGGAAATAAAGTAAATTCTGTAAAAGAAAATCTGATCCTTCGCAAACGAAGGATCAGATTATGTCACAATTTGATCTGAAGCATTTTTGGTGAAGGAAAATCAATGTTGCATAACAGGTTCGTCCATGAATGCTTCAATCGAAAGTATCCAAATTTTGAAAAATTAGCAATTAGCAATAGTTATTTACAGTTTAGTTAGTGAAAACAGTGTTGCATCTTAATGATTGTGTCCTTCTGATTTCCGTCATAAAATTCTAAAGATAGTTACTAGAAGTTGATTTTAAATTCTTTTGCTTATACAGAGTGTATGTTTCAACGTTGAGATCGAGGACATAATAAATATAATGGACCTTTGTTTAAGTGCCCATAAATTAGGCAGCAAAAAGAATTTTAATGGTATGATTTTATCATTTTTTATGCTAAGTTTTGATCGAACATTGTTATGCTGTAAGGTATTAATGTAATTATTTTTTCAAGTTTAACCTACCTGTAGCAAAGACCACCTGCCGGAAAAGGGCAATACCCTGACTTGTGTGGGTCGATAGTCACAGTATCAGCATACTTCAAGTTGTTAAGTTGTTTGCGCACGTAATTGCTCATAGGAAATTTTGGCAGCAATTCGTCATTTATATGTTTTCTTCGAAGTATTGTCGTGAAGTATCCACCCCATGCACCATCTGCCAGTAGGCAAAAATTCAGGCCCTGAAATATCAATAGTGAAAAACAAGAATAAAACATTGAAAACATCAACATTTACCTTGAAGGTCTTCCGACTGGTTTGTGGATTCATCCTTTATAAATGACACTGAAATAATGCAAAATTCAACATTTCCCTTTTTTGGTTGAAGTCTCACTAACCATTTACCATGTTTTATATATGCAACAACTGATGTGTCGTAGATGAGCATTTGGCACTTTAAGTCATGAAAACATGTTTATTATCTTGTCCTCCGGGTTACATTTCGTTGCAGGCATTAGGAAAGAGCAGAATTTTACACAAAGTTTTACCTTACGGGGTTATTGATTCGGAAAGGCATTCGCAATACAACATTAATTTATGTTGACGGGTCGTTAATAATGTCATAATAATAATAACATTCATTTATATACGATATATTTTCACCCAATCCAAGTAATATTCAATTCAATTGATATTTTGTTGCATATTGAAAAACATTACTGCAATAGCCCTTGTGTTGTCAGATTGTTTGAACTTTGCACAGGTATTCGGAAAAGAGCAAGATCATAACGAATTTACAAAAGACACACGTGAAAAGCTCATTTTAATACAAATGTCAAGTTAGACACAATAGAGCCACACAATGAATCAAACTGCAGTCCTTCTAAGACTCGTTAGTGATGCTAAGGGCATTAATTTTGAAGCCTAAGATACGACAGAGGAAAATCCAAAATGATCGAAAGAAAAGTCAATGTCTATACGGGGATCTGCACCAGTCCCATAATTAAAGCAATTTACATTATTCCAGCTAAGGGTTGCAGATTACTTTTGATTGATCTGACAAAAAAAGAAAATACGAACATGGCAGCAATTCAAGCTCCAATTCCATAAAAAAGGCAAAATATGAACAAAAAAAAAAAAAAAAAAAAAAAAAAGATTTACACGGAGACTACAGAAAAAGTACAGGAAGAAAAAAGACCAGGTATTCCGGAAAAGCTTCATCGACGACACCCTCCAGGTAAACCTTCGTCAATCAAAGTAAGTAATGTCACGTTTTTCAAATGAGAACAGTACTGATCTCTCAAGCACAACAAGGAATCCATAGAAACATAACTACGAAATCTGAGTAAATTCTATGCTGTAGTTCTCAAGAAAAAGATAACCAACTTTTTAAGTCAAACTCCAATATGCCAGCCTGGCGGCCATTTTGTTTTTTGTGATCCAACCCAAAATTAAACAGGAGCAACTAGGGAACCCCACACTTAAGATTTGAGAAAGATATATGCATTAATTTCTTAGAAATAGTGATAGCAATTTCCAGTGAAAAAACCCTGAAATTGCCACCTGTCAATCATTTCGTTTTTCTGATCAGACCACAAATCTAAGGGGTAAAACAAGAGCCAAACGAAAACTTACATATGAAATCAGAGAAAGATTCAAGGAATACTTATCAAGATATAGCAATAACAATCCTTACTTGGCGAAATACAAGACGGCCGCCTATCGGCCATTTTGTTTTTTTAATCAGTCCCAAAATCACACGGGCACAACTAGGTTCCAAGGGAAAAATACATATGAAATTTGCGAATATTCCATCCATTAGGTCTCAAGAAAAAGCAAAAATTGCTTCCGGACGGACGGACCACAGATGTAGGGCGATTTGAATAGCCTAATAGGCTACAAAGTATAGTTTTTTGAACAGACATCAAAATAAGGAGGCGTTATTGGTATGAAATGACATTATATTAGTCAACGCATCATGGTATATACAGGAAATTAATAATGTATCATAATCGATGAAGAAAACAAGTAAAATCTTCTTTCTCAAAGAATATCACAGAGTTAAATGGCTGTATGTGCTATATTGCATAAGTACGCAAACGTATTTCAATCAACGGCTCCCGTCTTAAAGTGTTTTGATACTGATTGGAAGTGATGAGGAAGGGATAAAAATAAAAAAAATGGTATATATGATGAATTGTTTACATAATAATCACATCATTCAAAGAATAATACTCATTTTACTTACTTTTGTCTTGTATTCAGCTCTCAATTTCAGAACATCTGCAATGGGATCGACTGCTCCGTGTTCGGTCGTACCAATAACACATATCACGGCAACCAGAGGTATCCTGTCAGCCAGGCATTTATCGAGGAGTTTCCGAAGTGCTAGCAATAAAACACATCAACATAGCATAGAAAAATATTTAATCTTTTACTGTTCATAAACTGTTTATCACAGGGTAACAATGTAAACATTGAGTTTGCAAAAATAAAATGTAAGATATAGTTCAACTTTACTGCCTCGATTAGTGGATGTCAAAATATTTGGTTGTTAACTGGGTTGTTTTTTTCCAGAAATGAACGTATATAGCTATATATATGAAGTCATAAGGACAAATTAATTTGTGATTAAGGATATCTATTTAAGTTTATGCTGTACAAGGTGTGACTAGGGTTAGGACTGGGACCAGTGGTAAGTGATCATCGTTTTATGATTATGACATTTGTCTTTTCCCGTTTATTTTTTTAATATTGTTTCCTTTTGGATCGTTGTGTCTTTCACTGGTTGATGGCCCTAATGACCTTTTATGTTGTTGTTATAATTATAATGATAAAATCAAAAACATTATTGATTACGTCCATCGCCTATATTTAATAAGAACTAATTGGAAATCAAAGATACAAAAGACTCTTTTCCTACAACGAAACCAACATTGACAACTTCCCAATAAGTTGTATGATAAACGAAATTATTTCAGTTTCACTATTGTGAATTCTCCATTTCTCGATTGCTATATCCCTGCATTTTTCACTCTATGGTATTTACATGTCACAATTGATTCGATATTCAAGAGCATGTTCTCATTATTACGATTTTCGTCAACTGAATGACAAACTCGTAGTACCAGGGCTCAAAAGATTCAGGTGGATGGAAATTATGGAGATGGTTTATGGTCACCACAGTGATCATATTAAAAAATATTTCATTTCTTTGTGAAGCGTATTTGATGTTAGTTTTCCTGTTGTTCCGCAGCTGTATACTTTGTTCTCATTTGGGAACATGGCATTTTGTACCACTGTATCTAATTATCAATTTGTATGAAAAGTTGTTATTCACTTGTTGTTCTTTTATACAACATTAACGTTATTGACCGTCACAATATTAGCACAATTCTTTCTCTTTAACTGATGTACACAAGACGAAATCAACAAGACCGTACCAGACATAGTTTAAGCGATGTCAGCCAAAGACAAACATGTAAGCAATACAAGTTAATTTTTTAACTTCATGTTTTATCAGTTTGTAAATATGTTTTTAAAGTCAAATATTAGGTGCAAATAACCTCTATTTCTCACTTTAGAGAAGTTGGCATGTTAATATTTTATATATTATAAGTATCTGTTGGAATCAATATATTGAATCTAATACCAACGTCAACATTTCTATTTATGTCATTATGATTGAACTTAATGATTGAAAGGACCTACCTACAATATCCATCCTTGCCCGTCGATCAGGAGCGACACTCATCAGATTGCATCCACCGATTCCCAATAGAGTGGCGGCCTTACCCCAAGAAAAATGATTGGATGGAGATGCAATTATCATAGGTGCGGTCTTCAGGTCATGCATCTCATAGAAATTGACAAGCCCGTTGTGAGCGATACTGTACCTTTAAATATGAAAACCAATAATTCAAATCCACACCCGAGAGGCACAGGGTGACGATATTTGGTTAGTTGTATGCTGAGACGAATTGTTATCGACAGTAATAAGAATGAAAATAAATTTAGTTTACTTCCTATTTTCTGAGTGTTATTTTAGGTAATACACTTTGCAAGTTACACATGGTCTGTAATCTAAATATTTTACCTGTGAGATGTCCGAGACATTACATGTTGAGTTATATAATATGAGTGACCTTTTCCTACATTCAAAGTCAATTTCATTAATACCAAGATGATGATATCTGATCAGTTGCGTACTACGACCCATTGCTATCGACAGCTAAAAGTGAAGTTGCAGCATTTCACCCAGTATAGTTTTGGTTATCGATGGGAGTTAACATTCAAAAAGTGCTGGTATGGTAGCAAACTTTGAAAAAAAACTTCTTTTCAAGTCCTACAAGGTCTAGTTTCTTGATATCTCATGCGAAAGACATCTCAGACGTCAGTTATCAGCTCTAGTATACTTGACCTTGACCCACTTTTAAGGTCACAGTGATGAATTTTGTAAAAAAATCTCTTAGTAGCCTTAATGACCCTAAATGTGTTGACGGGCCTTCCAGACTAATAATAATAACAACATGTTCTTTTCAGTAACCAAGAGGTACAGGGCATTTGCATTTCATCATTTGCATATGAAATTTCATTCTTATTGATAACATTAGGAGGATATTGTGTCAAATGTCAAGAGTCGGTTTTCGGAAGGGGTCACATTTAGAAAGTCCTTTTGTGGGTAACGCAATTAAATAATCTGAAGTTATATAGTCTAGAATAAAGATATTTAGATATGAATTGTTTGAATGGTTGGCTATCATGTTTGTGAAATGCTTAACCTTTAGTTAAGAGGGTCAATATAGGTTAAAAGCCCGTCAAATTTCTGGTCAACAATTTCTAGCTGTTATTCTTCCTCCGGCTTATTGTGACCTCCTTATCTTTCTATCGGTAAAAGATATGATCACATTCTAACAAGTATATGATAGGAAGTGTTTTAAAGGTGTTACCTTTCAAAAAGTAAATCGAAAATCCAATATGTCCGCCATAGCGTTGCAGGTAAACTAAAATGGCCAATTAAAAACCTTATCGATTAAGATTTCCTGCAACTACATACTTCGTAAGTATTCTAGAGAGCTAACGTTATTTTGTTGCTGCTGTTACAAAAAGAAGACAAATAAGAATCCTTCCTGCTGGGCCAAATGTCACAGATCGTTACTTCTTTTTCCATCCATTTGGAAACAATTGCAGTCATCGACAGAAGATGTCAATGCGATTAATTTGATGTCTTCAGTTTTTCTACTACTTACATTTAAGAGTGAACGCCATTTTGAATTTTACCTTTTATCTTAGTAAAATGCAGCCAGTTTTACTATTTCCAAATGCTCACTACCATTCAGTAATATTTATACACGATATTGTTTATCGATATGCTTGAATAATTATTTAAGTTCGGTTCCAAATGAAGGATTCCATTTTTCTTGTAGTAAATACAAAAAAAAAAAAAGTTTAAAAACCTTGTATCTGGATAACTTTCCATTTTTCAGTAAAAATGCATGAGGTAGGATTTCATTTACTCAGTGTTATATTTCATACTAATACAGAACATTTGGACGGGAAGGTTAAGGGCGACTGCTTGCATACCAATGTTTGACTTTTGCGTAAATAGTTTATAATCATTTACCTGCTTATAGCGTCTTTGGAATCATCTGGCTTTCTGATAAGTCGCTGGAGTTCTCCAGGTAGAGCTACGATATCGTCTAGATTAAGATTCAGCAGGTCCCAATCTGAAGCATATGTTATTTTCTGCTTTCTGTCAAGTCGGGGTATGTATACGCTCAGGTTTTCAGCATCATATAACATCGGTTCATCTTGTATGGCTTTTCTCACTGCCAAAGGGAGAAACTTGACATTTCTGGACGACCATAATGCCTCTATATTGGCGGATGTTCCTCCATTTGTGATGTAACCTCGTGGATTATGTGTCCCCGCAAAGCCAAGCAAATCACACAGTTGTTTCCCAACCTCTATTTCTAGTCGCGTCGTTACTGGACCTACCTCGCTGGACGCATTGTTGGCGTTTGTCATCCAGGCAGACAGGAAACCTAACTTGGCTGACATTGTTGGGTCAGGGATAACGTGACCCTGCGAACATATAAACATTAAAGGAATGTAGTGGTGTTAATCGATACATTATCTAAATTTTGACCTTTCGATCACGTTGGATTTTCTTCAGCCTCCGACTCAGTTTTAAATTTAAACTCTTAGCATTACTGACGAACCTAGAACGACGAAACAGCTGCAAGATGCAATTTAATTCACTGTAAGTGTGTTATTCACTTGTGTCTTTTGTGCAATATTTGTGGATAAAATATTATCAGAGTATTCATCTGGATTTCGCTTTTTCAAGATAATGTGACCTAATTGATTGCGTTATGACATTTTGTACATTTCAAAAGTAGTTCATATTATCAAGATAATTTCTTTGGCATATGTTACAGTCACAAGGTCATAGTTGTCACTGGACTAATGGACCTTTTTGCGTCTTGGTTAATGTAAGCTATTGTCACGTGGCTGTTGCGATGACTAAAGACAATAAATAGTGATATATTTCGAAGATATCTGTTCTGGAATTTTGTTATAATTGATGACAATTACATTCTACTTTGTTATCATGCCTTCTATCGACATGTTACTGTTGGAGATAGGATGTATCCCAAATCCATTCTTTACACAGTTCTTGGATCGGAAACTTTTCGTAGTGTTTATATACATTCATTTATTTTCTAGTGACCGATCTTTCCGTCTACCATATTAAATCGTTAATACTGTGACATGTTTCTTGCGTTATATTATGTAATGGTTGGTTATCTTACCTGATATCTAACACTTGAGAAGGGGATCGATTCTCGTAGTTCATCGTTTAGAAATTCAAGTTCTTTTTTCAGCTTGGCCATTTCTGTTCTGAAATTTACTGACGATTTCATCTTTGAGGTAATAAATGTGCGATCGGCTGGCGATTTGCTTTGTATTCCGACATTTTGTCTAAATGTCTCAATGGCTAATTCAGAGAACTCGTCAATGTTTTCAGAAGAAGGTCCGATGAACCAGGAGCCAAGTTTTTCCCACTGTGTCTTGCACGCATCAGCAACTGTCTTCCTATCAGATACACCATTGGTTGCAGGCTCCATTTTGTCCTTAAATACGAGAACAGGAACACATCAGCTCTGTAGAAAACAAATTAAGATGTTTCAAAAAGTCTAAAAGCAAACGTTCTTATTTCATATCAAACAATGCTGTTTCACCTGACATTACATACTATACTGAATGTTATAGACTTGGTTTTGTTTTGGGTTTTCAATGGAAACGTCCAATGAACATCGTTGTAACAACAGCCGTGGCCATATAAAGGCGTTCACCCTATATATGTGAAGTAAATACATGTATTGTTTGTGCGATATGTTTGTGTAATCCTCCTGAGCACTCTGCAATATAGATGCAGACTATATTTAGTGCTGCTGAACTAAGTATTTAGCCGAAGATTTGTGTCGCGTTAGATTACCAACCGTCCTAATAACAGCTATGGAGATTTATGAAAAATATCCACAAGGATCTAAATTACTTTAGATGACTAACACTACGTTCCAAAATGAGAACAAAATAAACTAAAACGGAACTACCAAGCATACTTGCGTCCATTAAGCGCGTCTGACTTCATATCGTAAAGGGAAAGAAAACTTCTCAATGATAGCATCATAATAGCCGTAAAATTCCTGATAATCTTCTAACCTTTTCTGTGTTAAACCCCCCCCCCCCCCCCCAAAAAAAAAAACCGCTTCGACAGTCCGTTACTTGATTTTAGTTTTTAATCTCACCTCAACAGATGAAATGTTCAGATATTTATTGGCCTGATGGATTGTCAGTTTAGCTGTAAGTAATAAAAATCTTGTATCAAAGTGTATAATTACATATGGAAATATGTGTACTAAAACGCTGATATTTGGTATGAGGTAACCTTTAACCGTCTGAACTGTTTTACAGTTGTAGGATTGCACAACGTTACAGACCGTGCGATGTCTGAACGATGTATGCATGATCGGAACATTGGATGAAATAAGCTACGCACGTTGTGTGGTTCTATCGCACAAATTTGCGATTCTATCGTGGTTGATATGCATTTGGAAATCACTTATAAATAAGTGTGGGATAAAGGTTTTCATCTATGTATATAGTATATTTCCTAATTAAGCCATTAATATATAGGATGGGTACTTTCAGATATATCATATACACACTGAAAGGCTAGAAACGATCGTAATTTTTAAGTGTTTTGTTTACAAAGTGCCACGCGTGACCAGCGTGTTATGTACGGCTACAATATATATGCAATATATATGTTAACATTAAATGGACGTCTTATTATCTCACAGCAAAGATTCATCTAAAATATCATCAGAAAGTAAATTTTACTTTCTTTATTATTGTATTATCTGTATAGTTTTCTCATTTCTCATTTTCGGAGGTGTGAAGCTATATATAATTAATACAGGTCCTGTGTTATCGCTATTTAGTAATAACTGCACGAATTTCCTGTTTAATTTTCAATCAGTAATATTAGCCAATCATTTTTAACAAACCGCGGAAAATGTGCGATCCTATCCCACAGTTGTGTTTATAACAATGTATCGCGTGTGTGTGCGCACGAAGGGTTTGGTGTGTTGTGCGTTACCAAAACTGTAGTATGGTGTTGCAAATATAAGCAAATTTGCACGATATAGGGTTTTAATCCCCCTGACTTGGTTTACTATTTCCAGAAATTTTCAACAAACCATTTTCCAATGTTGAGTCAAATATGTATGGGGTGAAGTTCTCACCATTAAAGAATGGAAATATTTGTAAACCCATCCCACCTAAGGTAGTGTTTCAAAAGGCGGTGCAAATACATATACATGAATAGATATGTAATGTTTCTACCCATTTGCTCGTCTTTTTTTTTTTTTTTTTTAAATTACTGGGTTTCAGAAATATACATGAATTGATATATAATTCGTTCGATTTGGACGTAAAATATCAACAAATTTGCATTATTGTGCAAAATCTGAAAATACATATTTAGCATGTCATTGGGTCAACTAAATTAAAGGTCACATAACTAGAAATTAAGTTAGAACTTGTACTGATCTATGTATATATTAGATTCTACATAAAAAAACACAACTTAAGATCGTCTTGAAGTTTTTATGCCATATTGAAAGTTCAATATTTTTTTCAACATGAAATTAACTATTTTCAAATGTGTAGAAGCACTTTACTAACTTTCTTCAACAGAACACAACTCCAGCAATCAAACTGAATTCAGAATGAAAAATAAAATTAAAACTCGGTTGTGGCCGTATTTTAAACGTATTTTCTTCAGAACTGAAAAAAACTATCTTCCCTAAAGGTGTCTGTTCCGAACGCGACTCCAGACACTTCCACATCAAATGAAAATAAGAAATAGTTCAATGCTTCAATTTGCTATGGCCATGATAAAGTGAAGCCCCCTGCCCCACCCTAAATTCCATAACCTTCGTTTTTTATGTATAGAGGAACATATCTAAAATCGATTGATGAAAAAGATTTACGCGAAGACACATCCCCAGATTCCTTTACCATGGCTTCACTATATCATATTACACCGGGACATTTCACAGTCAACTGCCTTTACACAATGTTCATCACAGATAGCTGTGCTGAGTGTGCGTGACTCAGCTTTATTCGGCAATGAAACAACACCACACACCTGACGTATCTTGAATATAATCTGTCGATCTGCTATGTATTCGTCTATAGTGTAGGGCGATAAATACAAATTCTTTGACATTTTGTTTTGTTGGGATAAGGCCTAAAAATAGGTTTGACTTTAAGGGTCAACATGAAATGTCATGAACATTCCATAAATTATTTCAGGACTTTTCAGGAGCTATAGATGAACTGTATAGATAGTTAGAGGCGGCAGTTGAAAGAACTCGTGCAACTAAATCTATCAATAGATCTTATAACTTAGCAATAGAGATATCATACTTAATATTTGAAGTTCAACAAAAGTTCCAACAGTCTAGATTCATAGAAACTTACCTGATAAAGGCTACAAATGGCTTATTTTAGTAGACTGAATGAAATCTCGGACTGTCATCGATTTCTCATTCTTTAAAAAGAAAGGCCTGAATAGATGTATATGTGTGTCTGATGTTGATATAATTTCATGCGTTTGACTGGGGAATAAGGATTAAATTAATTTCACCGTGGTATGTTTTCCCAATAGGTGGCGTGTTGGGTATTAACACGTGCTGGTCGTGCTAATACACGTGTCCTGGTACCCGGGTCCGTCATTCTGGCGAATTTAGCTCCGGCATAATTCTGGTATATTTTGTTGAATGGAGATTGACGGCGATGAAACTATTGGTGCCACTACGGGCAATTCGGGAGAAACTACTCTTGGTGACATATTGGAGAACTTAAAGGAGGTACAGCTATGGAAGGCCTAGTTTCGCGGCGGGTACGGCAAGCCAGGAGTGTAATACTCGTCCTATTAGTGATCCTGGGAAGCAGCTTTTTCGTGGCCAGTACGGCACTAGAGCACGAGCATGCTTTGCCTGTGGTGAATCCGGGCATTTCCGAAGAGAGTTCCCCAAAACCCCTAAGACCGGAAACCCTTGACAAGGTCGATTCTAAAGAAGGAAAGGTGTTAAAAGATAAGTATGATCTTATTTTTAGTGACATCGAAGAGTCAAGTGGAGATATTACATGTAGAGGTGACATTTTATTCACGGATGATTATTTTGAGTATGAACAGGGCTAAAGTGATATTAGAGTGCACAATATTTGTAAGTCAAAATTAGTAGACCAAAGTTCAAAGGTCAAAAGTGATTTGATACAGTCTGGATTTGTTTCGAAGGTAGATAAATCTATGTGGGATCCTGTGCTGTGCATGGGTTTTTTGGGAGTTGATGTAGTTCTAAGGATACAAGATCGTCGTATAGAAAAAGCACGTGCTTGTGTTTTGGATATCCTGAAGTGTGTTGACAAATGAAGGACAGACCATGTGAAGGCTGTGTCCAGATTTGTAGGGCAAATAATCTCTATGGGTATCGTGCTCGGTAGTATCACACAGCTTATGACCAGGTGTATTTCGATATGTATGTTACAGGCGTAGTCTTGGAATGATATAATTACGTTGAACGACGAATGTCTGAGTCAAATGCGGTGTTGGTTGAATCATTTAGACTGTATTAATGTCAGATAACTTTGCTACACCCCTCAGTGTAATAGAATAGTTTATTCAGATGCCAGTAGCACGGGTTACGGTGGCTATTGTGTCGATTCACCGCTGGGCATGTCACATGGAACGTGGTCTCCTTATGAGGCAGGTCAAAGTTCGACGTTCAGGGAATTGAAAGCAGTATATAGGGTCATGTTGTCATTAGTACACGCGCAACGGGGTTCCAGGGTAAAATGGTTCTCTTATAATCAGGCTCTTGTGAAAATACTAGAAAAGGGGAGCATGGAGTCTGATTTACAAGATATAGCGCTGGATATTTATCGTTTAATGGTACAATACAATCTTTCATTAGAAATGGAGTGGGTACCGAAGGAAGGAAAATAAAACGGCTGATTTTATCAGTAAACTTGTTGACTTTGACGACTGGGGTGTGAGTGTCCCTGTTTTTCAACAGCTGAACAGTAAGTTGGATCCATATGAGGTGGACTGGTCCGCATCGTGGTAAAATGCGAAAGTTCGGCCATTCTATTCTAGGTATTGGAATCCGGGATCGGAAGATATAGATGCATTCTCGGTTGATTGGTAACTAGAGTAATCAAGTACATGGGAGTGTGTAGGGCCCATGGTACTCTGGTTCTTCCGTACTGGAAATCAGCTAGATTATGGCCCCACATATGTCCAGATGGTGTACATTTCATGAGTGGTGTTCAGGAATATATGTGTTCCTGAATACTGAGAAGTGTTTTTACACCCCGTCACGTTCGGGGGAAAGGCATGTTTGGAAATGTAGACTTGAAATTTCCGATGTTAGCGTTGTGTTTGGATTTTCGCTGATCTGAATACCAATCTATAACTTGTTAGTTTTAACATTATTAGGATGTCTAGTTTTTGTTGAGAATGTGTATTGCCTAGAATTACAGATTACAATAG